CACAGTAGATCTCTCAACATGCTAGATCCCTCAACATGTTAGATCTCTGAACATGCTAGATCCTTCAGCATGCTAGACCCCTTAACATGCTAGATCTCTTAACATGCCAGATTCCTTAACATGATAGATCTTTCATTATGCTAGATCCCTCAACACACTAGATCTCTCAACATGCTAGATCTTTCAGCGTGCTAGATCCCTCAACATACTAGACCTTTAACAGGCTAGATCCTTCAGCACACTAGATCCTTCAACATGCTAGATATCTCAACAAGCTAGATCCCTCAACATGCTGGATCCTTCAGCATGCTAGATCCCTCAACATGCTAGATCCTTCCGCATGCTAGATCTCTCAACATGCTAGATCATTAAGCATGCTAGATCCCTCAACATGCTAGATCTCTCAACCTGCTAGACCCTCAACATGTTAGATCCTTCAACATGCTAGATCCTTCAACATGCTAGATCCTTCAGCATGCTAGATCCCTCAACATGCTAGATCTAGCAACATGCTAGATCCCTCAACATGCTAGATCCTTCAGCATGCTAGATCCCTTAACACACTAGATCTCTCAACATGCTAGATCCCTTAACATGCTAGATCCCTCAACATTCTAGATCCTTCAGCATGATAGATCCCTCCGCATGCTAGATCCCTCAACAGGCTAGATCTGTCAACATGCTAGATCCCTTAACATGCTAGATCCTTCAGCATTCTAGATCCCTCGACATGGTAGATCCTTCAGCATGCTAGATCCCTTAATAAGCTAGATCCTTCAGCATTCTAGATCCCTCAGCACACTAGATCTCTCAACGTGCTACATCCCTCCACATGCTGGATCCCCCAGCATGCTAGATCCCTCAACATGCTAGATTCTTCTGTACCACTGAGCCCACCCCCACCCCAGAGTTGGGATCCCACCTCCTTGGGCCAGACAGCCCAGGTGTTACCTCCTCTGGGCAAGCAGAACCTGGAGCCAGAGGTGGCAACTCCAGGCCTGACAGCAGCGGCCACAACTCAAGCTTTATTTTTCCAAGTTATTCCCCAAATCTTTCTGTTCAAGGTCCTTAAGCAGCGTGGTAGCCTGCCTGACGGAAGGGCCCTACAGGCCAGGTGTCCTGCCAGCATGATCTTTCTGAGCCCTCCATGGCACACTGCCTGCTGCTCTGCCCCAGACAGGGCCAGTGGTGTCCCCATCTCCCACCATCTCTGACTCGGTCTCAGCAGAAAGGGGCTGGGACTGGCCAGTGGTTTTTGAGCAGAGTCTGCGATTCCCTGGTGCCAAAGCAGGGAGTGCCACCAGCTTCCCCATTGCCCGACCTCACGGCTCAGGGTGTGGGGATTTCTCACCTTTGCCTCCATGGCCACTCCTGGCCTCCTGGGCAGATGGCAGCAGTGAGGTCCTGGCGAGCACTGGGCTCCCACCTTCCCCTCCCCTCCCAGGCTCGTCTCCCATTCCCCCATCACCGTTTCCTTTTTTCTGTCTCCTTTCCCTCTCTCTGCTCCAGGGACTCCCAGGGAGATCCCAGGAAAGAGCCTCAGGGACTCTAGCCTGAGAAAGTAGGGTCAGCTAGACTGGGCAGAAGCTGAGGTTTGAGGCAGGCCTGACTCTTGGGGTGATGGTCTGAGTGCCCCACCTCCCTCAGACCACCCAAAGCTCCAGCCCAGGAGTCCCAGCCACTCATCTCCAGGAGACCCAGGGAGCAGCCAGGGAGCCCTCAGCCAGGGCCCCCTCTCCTCCCACACCTTCCTGGCGGGGGCTCTCTCAGCTCCACCTGACTCAGTCTCTAACTGCACTGAAGGCTAGGCCCTGCCCACTGGGTCAGAGGAAGCAGTGACCCCTGAGGACCAGGGAGCCCCCAGGAGGCTTTGGCACAGCCCCATGACAGAGGCCAGGAGGCCTGACCCTGACACTCCCTGTCCCGCCCTATGGTTCCTGAGGTTGGCAGACAGTGATTTCCTGGGGACCAGGTCAGGGGGGACAATCACCTACTCCTTTCAGCTTCTTGCTTCCTGATTATGGCTCCAGGGCCTCCCAGCCATCCACAGCTTTGGCGTTGGTTCCAGCTCCTCTCCTCCTGGTCCACAGCACCCCTCGACTCCCCTTCTCAGCTCCACACCATGCCCGTGGTGGGCCAGGCAGGGCTCCAGCCCTGGGTCGCCCTGGTTGCGTGTCAGCTGAAACTGGTCTTGAGACTGGCCTCTGTGGCTTGGACTCCAGACAGGGATGGGCTTTGAGCTTCAACAAGACTCCTTGAAGAGCAAGGTCCGGCGTCTGTCCAGTCGGGTTTTCCGTTGCTCAGTGGATCTTCTCACTCTTCTGGCCTCAGTTTACTCCCTAGAAAATATGGGTCAGGTCATCTCCTTGCAGAGATGTGTCAGACCCCCTGCTTCCCCGATGGCCTGGGGAGTGGGCTCTGGACGGTGGCTGAACCACTCTTGCCTCAGTTCACGCCACCACCTGGGAAAGCCGCCCGCGCTGGGGGGTCCCAGGGTGAAATGAGATGAATGTACAGAGTCCCACGAAGCCTGGCTGAGGTCACGCTGGTTCTTACGACCCCCGACATGGTTGAATGACAGTCCTGAGAAAGGCAGGGACCCATTGCTCCCCATCACATCCCACCCCTGCCTCACTCCCACCCAACTGCCCAGCTCCAGCTGGCCCAACATGGAAACGGCTTCCATGCTTCAAGAGCACAGAGACCCCCAGGCATCACCATTTGCGCTTTTGTGCCAAACACACTTCTGCTAGGCAGTGAACCACAGACCCTAAGAGCCCCTCCATGGTACTGACCCTAGGGGGCTCTCCAGCTGCTATCTGGGGGGAGCTTCTGGAAATCCGTGAAACCTCAGAAATGGCCAGCAACATGCCGTGGTCCCTGTGCTCTTTCTGGGGGCCCCTCAAGGAATCCAGGCAACCACGGGGGCAAACCCTGGGCACAGGCAAGTTTTCCGAACACCAGCTCCCCACTCCGTGCCAAGCCTGGCAGCACCAGTCCCCCTGCTATGGGCATTTTCTGTCTCCTAGACAGACCGCAAGACCCTCAGAACCTATAGTGGGCAGGGGTCTGATTCACTGCCCCCATTTCCCCCGCCGCTGAGCTGGGGATAGAGCTGGGAAGACAGACATTCCAGGTGCTGTGGGGAACTGCCCTCCAGGCCCCCAGACTCCCTCCTGCCGGCCCACTCCCAGCCGGGCTCTGGATAACGTCTCAGAGACCAACCGCGGCAGCGCAGGGCAGCCGAGCACTTCCTCGTCTGTTTATTACTGAACGCCGGCATCTGGGAGCCCGCGGAGCATGAAATTAGGAACAAATGTGCAGGAGGTCTAGACAGGAACTCTGCGGGCTGCTCTCCTTCGATCGAGGACACCGGGGCCCTTGGGCTTCCAGGTAGTGGGAGCGCGTTTGTAACCAGACAGATGTGTTTGTGGAGGAAAAGGCACTCTGAGTCTCCGTAAGCCCTCGACGAGACGCCAGCATGGGGAGGAGTCTGACCGTGAGGCAACAAGCCTGGGTTCCAGGTCCAGCTCTGCCCTGGGCCCCCAGGGTTGGCCTTCTCTGCCCTGGCCACGGTTTCCCCATCTGGAAATGGTGGGCACCCGCCTCACCTGGTTAGAGGGGCCGCTTGTGAAGCTGTCAGATTGCAGGGCCTGTGTAACTGCACTGCCGTCGGGGCGTCTGTGTGTTGACCAGGCTTTCCTGTCCTGGGGCCCGGTTGGTTTGGAAGGCACGGGGCTGGATGAGCCAGAGGGCACAGCCAGTGCCGAGGATGCAGGCCTTGGCTTCTCCCTGGCTCCTACCACGAGCGCTGGGCATCTCAGGTGAATGAGGCAGACAGAAGCCTTCATTAAACGTCGCCTGGGCCCTGCACCATGCAAGGCAGTGGCAGGGGCTGGGGCTGGGGCACAAAATAAATAGGCTCTGGGGGTCCGTTCCTGTGGGCTTTAAGGCAAGTGAGGGAACATCTCCCTCAAGAGGCAAGAGGGACAGAAAACTAGCAGAGTCTGAAATTCAGCACAGGATGTGTGGCCCAGATGGCGGTGAGCAGGGGTTCTCCTGCCAGGGAAAGGCGGGTGTGGGGAGGGGGCTCCTGGGGGAGGCAGGTGAAGGCCGGTGTCTGGCTCTGCTGCCAGGTGTTTCCTGCCCCACCCCCAGCTCCACGCCATTCATTCCTCGGTGCCGGTGCCGCAGGAGACAACTGAAGCTTGTAAACGCAGCTGGCTCTCCCTGCCGGCTGCAGAGACTAGACAGGGCCCTCAGAAGGGGACTGTTGCCCGCCCAGGCCCCCTCGCCACAGACTCTGTGGACAGGGGTGGGGGACGCACAGGGGAGCCCCGTCTCACAACCTGTCCCTGTAAAAACCCGGGGTGGGAACAGGGAAGCAAAGCCATTTATAAAGCTTTAAAACCAATTATGGTCCCAGGGGGCAGATAAACAATTCAGCGCTATTCTCGCCAAATTGCCTTGGCTGGCAGTGCGGAGGCTTCAAGGGAGCTGGAAGAGGGGGGTGGCCCGAGTCACAACCAGGCGGCAGAGTGGCCTCCGCCAGGCTGTCACTAGGCCTGACCCGCATGGCTCTGCCTCCAAGGCTTGGCCTGGGCTGTTCCCAGCACCAACAGACCCTCTCCATCTCCCAGCCCATCCTTCACGGCCCAGCTCAGAAACTTCCTCCTCCAGGAAGTCTCCTTCGGTTCCTCCCCTATCCATTACCACCCTGAGCACCCAAGTCCTCCCCTGTTCTCTGAGGCACTCAGCTTTCTCAGCGCACAAGTATCCTTGGGAGCCAAAGTGTCTGTGGCCCTTTCCCTTCTCTGCCTACCCTTGGAGGGTGTCATCTGGCTTTATTGCTTTATCACTTGATGCTTGTTTACATTTTCATAATCCTGACTTTGTTGGGTGTCTGAATCATCTGGATTCCTGGCAGGGCCGATTAAAACTCCACGTCCCCCAGAGTTGGGAGGAATCAGTGTCTAAACCCTGCCACACCCATCTTACAGATAAGAAAACTGAACCCAGGGAGAGGCCTCTGACCCAAGGTCGCCAGCAAGAGTAGAGCAGGACGGAGGCCCCTCAGGCGCGTGTCACCTGGGCCACAGCTGAGTAGAGTCCTGGAGTCCCCAGGGAGGAGGCTGAAGGTGAGCACTCAGGGAGGGCAGCAGGCGGTCCGTATTCTTCCCTCATTAAATGAAGGGGTGGGATGTGGTCCTTCTCAGCTCTGGTGTTTGAAGTTTTGAAGTTCTGTGGTGTGTGTTAAAGTTCAGGAAGGCTTCCTGGAGGAGGAGGGCGCGTGCTGGGCTTTGATGGTGTGGTAGGCCCGGGGGGGTAGGCATCCCAGAGGGTGCGGCACAGCAAGAGCAGAGGGGAGGCAGGAGGGTGGGGGCCCAGGGAGGCCATGTTGCTGGGAGCTGCTCGGAGTGAACTGTGGGCTGATGTCAGGCCGGGCGCTGGTGGAGCTGCCAACGGAGTGTGTGTCTGTCGGCCATGCCTGGCCCTGGGACCTGGCGCCGTCTCGGGCGTTGCTGCTCCTCGGCGGGCGTGTATCTGCCGAGCGAGGCTGAGAGGCTCCAGCTGGACCAGCCCGGGTGTTGGAGGGTGGCTGCTGACAGCCCTGGGCACCTGGCCTGAGCCGGCACCCTTCCCGTCACACCGCCAGGCCGCTCGCTGCTGGAGGAGACCTGGACCCAGAGGAGCTGCAGCCGGGCGGAGCCAGGGGCCAGCTGCATCTCAGACCTGAGAGAGAGCTTTGCAGCGAGCGGGGCCAGCTCCCTCAGGGACCCGAAGAAGGACTCAGACCCGGGGAGGGATGCGATCCTAACCACATCAGCACAGCACTGAGCACGGTGCAGCTGCTGTCCCATACAACCCCTGGGGGTCTTCCGTTTTATAGAGGAGGGAACTGAGGCAGAGGAATGGAGGCGTTGAAGGCCCATTCTTGCAGCTAACCGGAGGCAGAGCCAGGCTGGCACTTGAGGGCCCAGCCTGAGTGTCCTGTATGGCTCCGCAGTACCTGTCCCTGAGGGAGCGCCTCAGCCCAGCCACGGCCACCTGCAGTCTCCATCGTCCCTGCAGTCTCAGCCTGACAGCAGTGGGAGCCCCTCCACCCAGGGACATGCTCCCTATGGGAAAGCCGTGGCCCCCACTGCTGTCAGTAAGCCCCAGCCGTGGGCCCCCAGCCATGGCCCCTAGTGGAGGGTGGTGCTGAATTTTAATCCCTGCATGATCACAGACAACACTCGGGCATGAGCCTCAACCTCCCTGAACCCCTCCCAAGCTGTGCGAGTGCCCTCATTGGTGAAGTGGGGCCATAATTACCTGGGTGCAAATAGCAAAAATGCACTCCAGGTGACAGGCACACAGCAGGAGCCACTCTGCGGGTGTCAGGGAGGGATTGGTACCTGAGTCAGGACCACAACGGCAATCTCTCCCGCAGCTGTGACTGGCCTTCCTCGCCCCCTCCGGGGACCAGCGCCTTCTGCCTCTCCAACATGTGGCTGAAAACTCCACCCGTGGCTACAGCCTGGCCACAGCCTGAGCACTCATGTCTCTACCCAAGGTCAAGCGACCAGCAGGGACCGGCCAGTGTCTCAGGTTTTAATTCCATTTCCCAGGAGAGAGGCCAGCTGACCCAGTGTGGGGTGCACGTCCATCCTGAACCCAGTAAACTGGCCCAAAGGGCAGCAGCAGAGGGCCCAGATGTGGCCACCAGCCTCTTGGCTCAGAGCACAAAGAAGAGGGCCATGGCTAGGCCAGCACCCCCAAACCTGATATCAGCACAGCGTGTGCTTCCCCAAAGGTGCTGTGGTATTCAGGACATTCATATGGAGGAGATATGGGGTTCAGCAGTCGGGGTAGGGCGGCAGGGGCCCCAAGGTGGATGGTAGCAGCGGATCCACCCTGACCTGACCCAGATCCCTCATCTTACTGGTGCTGGGGCCTGGGCAGGTCACTTCTCTCCAGGCCTCAGTTTGCTCTCTAGTGGGATCATTTGAATATCAAAAAGAATCATGACTGCAGTGGATTGAAACACATCAAATATATTTTCAAAAATCAGTGAGATTGCACTGGTGAGTTTCCACACAGAAAGGCAAGCTGGGGCAGACAACAGGCTGGGACCAACAGGGACGCGGGGCCTGCACACGGGACAGGGGCAGCCTTTGGTTCACTGAGAGGTGCGGGTCTGGGCTGGCCTGTTCTCCATCCTCCCGGCACACACACAGCCACAAACCTCAGGGCACCAGCTCATTCTGATCCCTGATAAAGAGAGGAACGGAACCTCTAAGACTTCCCTCTGCAGGCCACATGCTAGGGTAGCCACACAGATGATAAGGGAATGTGCTTTCGAGCTTTTTCAAGAAGAACTGGAGCTCATAAACGCGGAAGGAAGGACACCATTTGGAAAGTTACTACTTTGTAACTCCCAGTGAAGTAACAGATCCAGGTCATGCACAGGAGGCTACAGCAATGGTCCGGGAGACCCACGGGAACCTGGCGACAGGAGAACGGGCCGAGAGCAGCTGCGCCCATTAGCTGATTGTGATGTCAAGATGAGAGGGACAGCAGACATCAGGCCCCTGGAAATGATGCAACAGGAAGCCAGTTTAGAGGAGAAACACTGATAAAGGAGCATGTTCAATGCCATGCAAGGAATTGCGGCCAGTTCCAGTGCATGGAAAATTCCGTCAGATAAACAACCCAGTTTCTCTAATAAACAACGTGGGGGTGTGGGGCGTGAATGGGTTTCGAGCCGTTCTAGAGCAAAAGGAGCCAAACGCAACTACATCCTGATTTGAACTAACCAACTGTAAAAAAGGCATTTCCAAGATGACAGGAGAAAGCTAAACGTAGGCTGGGTAATTTTTTTAAAATCCTCCTCCGTCAGATTCTGCACTGAAGTATTTATGGATAAAGTGATATGCTCTGTGATTTCCTTTAAAATACTCCAATCTCTTCCTCCACCCCATCCCCCAGCAAGAAAAAAAAATGAGGCTTGGGAAATTGAGGAAGGGAAGTGGCGCCAGCTCCCACTGTTTTGTGAGAGGTGATTGTGAAGCATTCAGGAATGCTGTAAGCTGCTTGTCAAACCTTGCTTGAACTGCAACTGGCCATGGTAAGAAAATCTACACCACAAAAATCAGCAAATGCTCCCAGCTGGGAGCTTTGAGAGCTGGTTTATCAGCACACCCCAGGACAGGGATGAGCTGAATGCAGCAGCCACTGACAGCATCACTCCAGCCTCCCTGCATCGTGTTTGGTGGACGTTCTCCGTAAAAAGGAGTTTGCAAAGGGCATGTCCCTAGCCTGGAAATCCCACTTCTAAGAATGTATCCTGAAAGCCACTGAAGCAGGTTCCAATGGTTCCCATTACTTAGCTACAAAGACGCTTATTAAAACATTGCTAGAAATATTTCTTTAATGTAAGAAACCCAAACGTCAGGCAGGAACTGGTTTTCAGTTTCGCAAGATGAAAAATTCTGGAGATTAGTTGCCCAACAGTGTGAAATATACCTCATGCTACTGAGCTGCACATTTACAAATGGCGAAGATGGTACGTTTTATGTGTGCTTTACCACAATTAAGCATTTTAAAGAAAAGGGGTCGGTTACATGAAACAATGGAATCGGGTTAGAGATTATGTTGCAGAAGAAAATGTAAGGATATGACAGAATAATGGTGACTGTGTGAGATGAAAATGCAGGGAAGCAGGTTACAAAACCATATGTTCGGCTTGACTGCATTTGGGTAAATTTTAAAACGTGCGAGCTTGTAGAGCCAGGCTGGAAGGACGCCATTCATTGAGAGCATGCTATGCTGAGCATGGAGAGACACGCTTGTAAAAGCGTCACAAAACCCTGGGCTATTAGCGTCCACCTTCTACAGATGTGGAAGCTGAGTCTGGGAGAGGGGCAGGGACAGAGGCCAGCTGAGGCAGAGCAGGGCCTGGGGCTGCTCCTGCAGCCCGTCCCAGGCAGAGCCCCTGCTTCTCCCGGGCACATCCTGGAGTGCTTTTTTTCCCCTCAGGCTTGTCTTCTCAGTTCTCTAGAATAGCACGGGTGACTTTTGTGGTGAGGAAGCGTGATGCTCTAAAGCTGGCGGCGTGTGTTGCAGGCTGTTGATGGAGAAGGGGGCGGATGACAGCCGGGACCGTGGTCATCACCGGGGGCATCTTGGCGACTGTGATTCTGCTCTGCATCATCGCTGTTCTGTGCTACTGTCGGCTCCAGGTACTCCCGGGCGGCAGGGAAGGGGATAGGGCGGGGAGGCCCGGAGGGTGCCCCTACCTCGGGAGGGAGCCCTGCGTGAAGGCCACAAGGGTCACGGCCCGGGAAGTGGGAAAGCCCTGTGTCAGAGAAGACGCACAGCAGAAGGCAGCCAGGACCCTACCACGGGGTTCAGTAAGACATGCCTGACTCCCCTCACCCAGAGCTTTTAATGAGGCTCAGAGACGGGAAGGGACTTAGCCAAGGGCACCAGCTGCCCAGAGCGGGTGCCGCAGTAAGCACTCCAGGGCCATCCAGGGTCCCCATGTCTCCCTGAGAGATAATGGGGAGCCATCGGGGCAGGGCGAGGCAACACAGCTGCCAGTGCCTGTGACCCCCGGCTCTGCTGATGTGGGGCTGCGAACCCCTCCATGCCTCAGTCTCCCCACCTGCAAAATGAGATAACAGTCACATCTGCGCGTTGCTGGGCGGAAGAGATGAGTGTGGATCGTCGTGAAGTGCTCAGCACTGTGCCTGGCCTGAGCCAGACCCATAGCACTGGTTAAACAGCTGAGGTGTCAGGCCTGGGCTTGGGCCACCCGACTCCCGCTGTGCCTGTCTCCCCTCCCCAGTCAGGGGTAGCCTTTCCCGCGTGTGGGTTCTGGGGTGGGAGCAGGCGGCCACACGGTCACCGTCCCTCTGCCCGCAGTACTACTGCTGCAAGAAGGACGAGTCGGAGGAGGACGAGGAGGAGCCGGACTTCGCCGTTCACTCGCACCTGCCCCCACTGCACTCCAACCGCAACCTGGTGCTGACCAACGGGCCGGCGCTCTACCCCACTGCCTCCACCTCCTTCAGCCAGAAGTCTCCGCAGGCCCGGGCCCTGTGCCGCAGCTGCTCCCACTGCGAGCCCCCCGCCTTCTTCCTGCAGGAGCCGCCGGAGGAGGAAGAGGACGTGCTGAACGGCGGGGAGCGCGTGCTCTACAAGAGCGTGAGCCAGGAGGACGTGGAGCTGCCCGCGGGGGGCTTCGGGGGCCTGCAGGCGCTCAACCCCAACCGCCTCTCGGCCATGCGGGAGGCCTTCGCCCGGAGCCGCAGCATCAGCACCGACGTGTGACCCGGGCCCGCCCCCGGGACCCTGGCCTGGAAGGTCCTGAGACCATGGGGGGATTCCTGTGGCACACCCACCTGGCCCCAGGCCCCAAGTGGGGCTTGGCTGAGCCCTCCTCGAATCCCTGTCCTCAGGGGAGGCCCAGGCTTGGGGAGCCCCCAGGCTCACGGCAGGGATAAGGCTCACTGAACACAAACGTGTCCTGGGGGGAGGCACAGCTGGGGCCTGGGGCTGGAAGGACCAGGTGACCATACAGCCAGCCGGGCGTGCACCAGGGCTCTCAGGCTCGGAGGCCACCGATACTCCTGATGCTTCTGTCTCAGACCCAACAACTTGGCCATCCCAGGAGGTCTCCATGTGTCACCCCCTCCCTGGGTCTCAGCCTTCTCACCTGCTCAAGGAAGGGATGACCTCAGTGAGGCCCAGGGCTCTGCAGCAAGGCCCTTCCTGGCAATTGCAGACCAAGGATTCTGCCCCTCCACCCTGAACTCCGGCCTCTCTCTTTTCCTCTATTTTTCCCTTTCTCTCTCTCCCCTACCCGTCTGTCCCTCTCACACACACGCTCTCCAGGGTTCAAGTGCCAAATATCTGCCCAGGCTGAGACACATTGTGCTGAGCCCCCTGCAGATGGACAGGTTGCCCCCTAGAAGGGAGACTTTCAGGGGCAGCAGGGCCCTTGGGATGCTCAGCCCCGACCGGCTTTTTAGGGGAAGAGGGAGGCACGGGGAGAGGGAGAGGCCATGTCGCAGCCCACCTGCCGTGGGAGAGGCAACGCGGAAACGTATAGACCCAGTGCTCAGCCAGAAACAGGGCCAGCAAGCAGCAGTGCATGGAGGCAGCCCGAGGCTCGTTAGGTTGGGCAGAGCCGTGGCCCAGGGCTTGAAAACCGCCGAGTTCCCCATGAGACTTGGCTGACCCTTCCCACCCTTGGGCCTCAGTCTCCCCATCTTGTGTGATGAGGGGCTGGTCACAGAGAGACCCTGAGGACAGAGGTCTTCAGGCTCTGGGTCTCAACAGGAACTGTGAGCTCCAAGGGAGACAGAGCTGCAGGTCACCTCCCCTACCTGCTTCTCAGCAGGACCTAGGAGGCCCGTCCCAGCTCCTGGTGGACCCCAAGCAGCTGGAACCTACTGCTGCCATCTGAAGACCTCATCTGAGCCCACTCTCCCTCAAGCACACCCACCCAGGCTGAGGTCTCCTGGGAATTTTCACCCGCTCTCCTGCTGCTAAGGAAATGACGTCAGTGGTTACCCCAGAGAAATGCCCCAAACCCCGGGACACTAGCTGTCAGGAAGGCAGCCCTTCCTCAACCAGAAAGAGGCAACTATTTCCTCTCAGCAATCTGGCCCCAGGAGCCCCCTTCCCTCTCTGGGGCTCTCCCTCTCCTTCTGGGCCCTGCCATGGAGCCCCAGGGCCGGGGCAGCCCCTCTCTGCCCAGGGAAGGCACCGTCCTCAAAGACAAGGCTTTGCAGGGCAGTGGCCTTCCCTGAGCTGAGGGGTGGCCTGCGCAGGACACTTCTTGCCCTTACTCAAAAATGAAATCACCAGTTTCCAGAGGCTGGCGAAGACATAATTGTTATGTTTTCAGTTGTTTACCTCTTCTTACTTTCTCCCCTGCCTGGTTGGGATAGGCCAGTGGCATTCACCCTTGAGGTCCCTCGAAGCCCTGGCCCCCGGGCCCGCCCACACCTCTGGCTTCCTCTGTGCATCCTGTGAAGTGTGTTTCTGATGCGTCAGCGTGGGGGGTGGGCTGGGTGGGGTGGGGGTGAGGGCCCAGAGCTGGCCCGTGCTGTGGCTGTTCTGATTCAATTTCCCACTTCCTTTCTGGTCTCCATTCTCTCTGTAGATATGTAGATCTCTTTGAAACGAAGTAAACACCCATCCCTCCCAGCTCACTCTTCTCCACCGTGGGGACCTGCTGGGGGAGCCGCTGGCTCCCTGAGGAAAGTGAAGGCCAATAAAACATCTCCCACGTTCCCGTGCAGCGTCTTCAGTCCTCCCGGGTGTCCAGGCCGTCCACACCCACGCTCTTCCAACTTCTAGGAGGCAGAGTCAGCTTCTCCCTCAGGATGCAGCCAGTCAGGCCAGGGCTCTGCCCGGCGGGGCCGAGAGCTGCTCTCTGGCTGGGGGGCACAGCAGTGGGCCACGTTTGATTTTGAGTTTCCCCGGTGGCTATCCATCTTCCAGCATTGAGAACTACCAGGATGGACTCTGAGCCCCTGGACAGAGGGTGGTTGGGGACAGGCTGGGTCCCCTGGGACAAGTGACTGAGCATCTCTGGACCTCAGTTTTAGCCTCCTGGGGACCTTTGGAAGATAAACCCAGGCAGAGCCAAGGAGGTGCTGGGCACAGAACCTGGCATACAGTAAGGGTACAGTAAGTGTTGGCAGAAAGGAGAAGCTGGGAGGAAAACAGTAAGACAGGAAGAAGATGTGGATGGCGGGAGAGAGGAGGAGAGAAGAACAGCGAGGTGAGGGGGGACACAGGGTGAGGTGGACAGAGAGGCCTCAGACCCCCAGGTCTCAGCGACTTGGCTCTGCCCGGCCCAAGCTGGGGACCTTAAGCAAGTCCATCTCAGGGGCCCCTAACTCCTGGACTTTAGGGATGGAAAGGACCATCCTGATTGCAGCCCCTCAATGCACACACATGCAGGCACACTCAGAGACAAGAACGCACTGGCGGGGGGTGCTGCCTTAGTTTCCCCAGAGCCCCAAGTCCTTCAGAAGCCACCCTAAAGCTGCGACGGACCCTGCTCTGGCTCCCAGTCTGAGGACAACCTGGCCTCACATTGAGGAAGCAGCCTGGCAACCACTCCCCTCCTGGCCGCCTGTGTGCACGGAAACACCTCCTGGGGCCCTCTCCAGGCAGTACAGCCCCGTCCTTCCTCCCATGTGGCATCCTCCAGCGGTGTCGCTTTCCTCTCCCAAGTGCTCTTTCCCACCCTCTTGTCTGGAAAAGCCACTCCTGCTGCTGGGTCCACGAAGCAGCCCCTCCCCAGAAGCCCAGGTGTTCCTGCAGCCATGAGTCCAGGTCAGGAAGTCCTCCATGAGCTCCAGGAATGGCAGTGACGGTGCTGCTTCCCAGAGCTTGAGGTGGGCCCCGCCCCGCGCCCCGATTACCTGCCTCATCTCCTCTGTTCTTGCCCACGTGCTTGGAGGTGGGTGCCCTACACCTTAGCCAAGGTCCCTGACCCCTGCTCCCACAGGTCCTGTACCACTTGCTGATGGGCTCGAGATGTCAACTCCACTCCTCCTCCGGTGCCTGAGTCCCAATGTCCCCAAACGCCTTCCCTGTATGCTTCCCACGCCTCTCGTTGCCTTTCATCTGCACCTGTCTTTCTCCTCGGAGCAGGTGCTGTGGCCCCCGCCGGCCCACCCTTGCACTCCAGGCCTCAGCAAGCTGGAGAGACCCCACAGAGCCAGGCCCGGGCCCACCACGCCCCCAAGCAACCCACTCCTCCAGCCAGAAGCAACTGAGACCCCATGATGCCACCATAAATAGGACCACTTTATTAACGTAGATGAGCACTGACGATGACTGCAGGGGCGGGGCCCGCGGACCATCCCCAAACGTCCCGTGGGCAAGCGCCTCTGCCCGGGGTAGAAAGTGCGGCGGGAAGAGAGCTCCACGGGAGGGGCTCTATAGGAGGGAGCACGCCTGGGCCTCCTTGGCTGCCTGTGTCCCTCTCACCCTGTGGTCTCCGAGGGAGGGAGGCTCCCCCCACATTGGGCTCGCCTGCAAGTTTCCTTGAGAAGGCCCTGCCACCTAGAGAGGGCGTGGGCTGCCGGCCCGGGGCAAGACACCTCCACTGCTGGCTGTGGGCCTCGGGCCCCTCGGCTGGGGGCTGCTGGGGGCTGGGGAGTGGGAGCCACACACACAGGATCCACACAGGAACACAGACAGGTTCCCACGGCACGGGTGGCCCTGTCTGGGGGAGGCCAGTGGGTGCCGGAGTCTCTGCCCCAGGAGCCCAAAAGTCCATGGGCCGTGGGAAGTCCCCTCTTGACAGCCGAGACTCAGTGCCACGTCTCAGGCCAGCATGCCCTGCAGGAGGGGGGTCTGTGGAGGCCCCAGAAGCTGCAGCAGCCCCAGGAGGGGCGCTGGGTCTTCGTCTGGAAGGGGCTGCAGCTGCCGGGCCTAGGAGTGGGGGGGCCTGCAGGAGCGGCAGCACGCCTTGCTGTAGTACCAGTGCCCGCAGAGGTTCACCTTGATGGCCAGGGCACAGTTGGTACCTGGCTGGTCCTGGCAGCTGTCATCTGGAGAAGGAACACAGGGTGAAGCGGGGCAGTTTTAGGCGGTGCCCAAGGGGTGAAAACCCCAAGGACCCCGACGTGAAGTTTTCCAGGGGCAGGTGCCGTGGGCCTCCCACCCCATGGTGGGTCTCCATCTCTAGCTCTCTGCCACCTCTTTCCTGGCCCATCTCTGTCCCCAAGATGTCGCTGTCCCAGATCACAACAGGTGATCTGATCTGTGTCCCAAGAGGAGTGATGCCTAGAGGAGCTACAGATGCCACACCTGGAGGCCTAAGCATCCCCAAGCGGTCCACAAGGGCCGTCCACGTCCACCACTCAATGTATCCAAAACAGAACTCATCACGTGCCCTGCACCTGGTACCCCCTTGGAGCCTGTCCCCTGTCCCTCCTCCAGATGCCCAGGCCCTGCTTCAGCTGTTCCCCTCCCTGCCCCCTGTGTGCCAGCCCCTGGCCATTCCAGCTGAGTCATCCTGGATTCAGTGGCCCCGCCATCTGAAGCTGACACTTTTCCCAAAGTACAGGTCTCAGCATGGCTCCCTGGGGCCACGGAACCCCAGTCAGGCCTCCTCCATTCCCCTTCCCACTCTCCCCTCCCAGTGGGGCTCAGCCATGCTGGGAGGGAGCCTCCACTCCCGGCACACCTTGGTCTCTCAAGCTGGTTCCCAGGTTCGCCATCAACGTGAGCAATGCCTGCTCACCCTTCAGACCCTGATTCTGTCCTCACCTCCCCCGAGAGGCCCCAGACCCAATCTCAGCCTCCCCGCTCCTCACCTGGGGGCTCCGTGGGGCAGGGCTGCAGATCACAGGCCTGTCTGCCAACAGGTTTCACCAGTGGATCGCAACCACGGACAATGTCGGTCCCCTGGTAGCACTTGACATCTCGCATCCTCACACCCACCCCGCAGGTCTTGGTGCACTAGTGTGGGAGAGACAGAGGGCCTGGGGAAAGCCTCCTGATGCAGCAGGGGCCTTGGCAGGAGGCGGGGAGCCTGCGCATCCCCCCTTCCCCACCCCACCCTTCCCAGGTGGCTGTGAGTCCCAGCTGACACAGGTCCCGTGGAAGCCAATTTGAAACCCGACCTGCAGCTCCAGGGCTGAGTGGAGGTGCCGACAAAAGGGCATTGGCTGGCAGTCGGGAGGCTCTGATTGTCTCCCACCGAGGGCTGCCTCAGTCTCCCCGGATGCACAGTGAGGGGTGGTCCCTCCTCTCCCATCTCCCCGAGGGTCCTCTGGCCCCAGCTTTCCTGGGTCTGTGGTGCAGACTGTTTGTTGTGGGCCGATCAAATGCATCTCGCGAAGCCACCACCCCCTCCAGTGGCTCCCTGTCCAGATGTTCCCCTTGGAAAACCCCGCTGAGCTCCCCAGAACACCAGAGACATGTGGTGGCCCCAGTCACCCTGCTGTCCTCCTGCCAAGATCCCACAGGCGGTGGCTCCTTCACACTTCCCCCCACGTGGGTGACCCCACGTCACCCAGGCACGTCTGGGACCTGAGCCCTCGGTTCTCTGAGGTGGGCGGGGTGGGAGGCCCTGGCCCTGGGGCCCACTCTCCACTTCTGTTTGCAAAGGAGCAGGAGGACCGATTAAGACTTGGCAGAAAGACTGCCGCCTGCCTGCCTGCCTGCTCCGAGCCAGGGGGTGGGGGCTGGCACCGTCTGCAGGCGAGGAGAGGCCGGCTTGGCGCTGACGGCGTGAGGACAATCAGCCTTTGGCAGGGCCCCGAGGAGCCTCTGGACGTGCCTCTGGAGAGCAGCACATTCCCGGCCAGCCCTGGTGCCAGCTCCTCTGCCCCTGGGGAGTGGATGGGACTGGGCAGCTTCGGGAACAAACACTGACTGAGCCGCCGCCGTGCACCGGCATTGGGGGGGCAGCCGCCAGGAAGGAGGAGTCCATGTGCCCACCAGCCATCTGTGCCAGCCACGCCTCATCCAGCCCTGCCACCTCCTCATCAGGGCTAGGAGGATGCTCCTCCCCAGCGTCCCAGGCTGTCCTTCTGGGGTCCCCCCTTCATGGTCTCCCCGTGCCATGGCTCATCACCCTCTGGGGTCCCCCCTTCATGGTCTCCCCGTGCCATGGCTCATCACCCTCTGGGGTCGCCCCTTCATGGTCTCCCTGTGCCATGGCTCATCACCCTCTGGGGTCCCCCCTTCATGGCTTCATGGCCCCCCACGCCATGGCTCATCACCCAGCAAGGTACCTGCACCGAGTGGGTCCCAGTTTCCTGGCCCCACAGTGGCCCCCCATCTGAAGCTAGTGCTCTTCCCAAACTACAGACCTGGGCTGACTCCCTGGGGCCCTGGAACCCCAGTCAGCCCCCCTGCCCCTTCCCACTCTCCCCTCCCACCGGGCTTAGCCTTTCCAGGAGCCTTCATGACCCAGCACACTGTGGTCTCTCCAGGTGACTCCCAGCAAAAGCCGGCTCACCCTTCAGGTCCTGGCTCTGCCCAGGCCTCCCCCGGGAAGCCCCAGGCCCACGCTTAGCCTTTCCCCTCCTCACTTGGGTGTCCTTTGGTGGGCAACAGGGAATGAGTGGGTGGGTGTTCTCCCTCCTGAATAAGCATGTGTGCAATAGGGCAGGCAGAGGCCCTGGGGGATCAGGGTGGACGCCAGACACCACCCAGTGTGCACGGAGAGCCTGGGGCCTGGCGAGGGCCCAGGACCTGGACCCCAATCTCTGAGCAGGGCCACACTGGGGTCCCCGCTCACTCCTCACAGACTCTTGGACTCTCTGCCTTGAACTCATAAGGTTTAGGATTTGGCACCCACCCGCCACAGTGACCAAGACATAGAGCCCTCGGGTACCAGGGCCTGAGACACAGTGGGGCACTTCACCATGAACATTCCAGGCCCCGAGTCCCATCTGACACCCCTATTTTGTCGCCTGGGTATTCAGAGTTGGCCCATGAGGAAACTGAGGCTACAGGTAGCTGGAGACCCCAGGTAAACAGCCTGGCTATGGCAGCCCCTGCCCAGTGATTCCCAGATACCCTCTGGACACTCCCACGTCCCCCTCTCAGAAGCTCATGGCATCGCCAGGTGGGAGGGGCTGGGACTGGCGCCAGGGCTGGCGCTGCTGTGAAAGGGGCATGGAGGGCTGGCGTGTCACAGCCGATGTGAGTTATTCAAGCTGGAGTCTAGACGGGACTGCCTCCGTGGGGCCCAGAAGGCGGAGGGGCACCCACTGGCACAGGGCAGGGCTCTGGAGTCTCCTGGAGGCCCCACAGGAAGTGGCACAGAAGGGGAAAACAGCAGGGGAGGTGAAAGTAACCTGTTTGCTCTGCAAGACAACTGGGGGTGAGGGGGTGCCCAGTTTGCCACCCCCTCTGTGAAACCAGGGCTGCCCACCCACCTCGGGGCTCCCTGCCCAGGGCCCCTCAGGATGAGCTGGTCCAGGCCCCCCTTCCCTTGCAGATGCCACACCCCACCTAGGTTTCACTCTAGGGCCATGGACAGGCCTGGCCTCCAATGTCTGCTACAGCCCCCAGTAACTGTGGGACCCCGAGTGGGCCAGAGAGTTCTCTGAACTTCAGTTTCTTCCTCTGAGGAATGGGGAAAAGGACCCCTCCTCATGGCACTACTGGGAGAGAGGAGACCCTTCGGGCAAAGAGCTGGGCCAGGGTGGCCACACATGCCTCAAGTCCCCAGGATGGGAGGGCTCTCCTCCCCTCTACAAAGACAGCCAAGATCTCAGCTCTGTCCTGCCTGACATCCTGACGCTGGGGCATTCTGGGGGCCCAAGAGTCAAAGAATCTCGGAGGGGCCAGACCTGTGCAGGAAACTTACTGCCCTTTCCTCTGGCCCCGCCGGTGTCCTGACCTGGGGTGCGTGTGTATTACGGTCTCCCTAAATCCCAAGCTCCTACCTTGGCTGTGGCTCCCGGAGGGCCAACCCTGTGTGTGCCTCAGCCCAATCTGCTCCTCCCGCCCACCTGGGGCCTGTCTATCCCGTGGTGTCAGGCGCATGGGCTGCCAGGCGCAGGATGAGTGCCACAGGGATCCCAGGGACAGGATCAGAGAAGGCTTCCCGGAGGTGCTGGCTCTGGCACCAGCTGACGTGGTGGAGTTGAGCAACCTTCCTGGGAAGGAAGGCCCTCACAGAGGCTGTCGGGGAGGGAGGAGCGGGAAGCACTTAGGGAGCCTTGAGGCAGGAGGGGCGGGATCAAAATTCAGGTCTGGCCTCAGGCAGCCTCAGAGGGGCCAGCTGGGAGCTCACCTCTGACCACGGGCTGGTGTACCACTTGAAGCAGGGCCTCTCGAAACACGTGCTCTCCTCGGGAGGCTTCTTGGCGAGCCCACACTCGGGGCCGCTGCGCGTCTGCGGCTTCCCGTTGGCCAGCTCCATGCAGAGCACCAGCCGCTTCTTGACCCCGCGCCCACAGGTGGTGTTGCACTGAGGCCGGGGCAGAGGGAGCGGGTCAGCGCCAGGGCCCAGCAGGACCCTATACAGGGCCCACGGCGACTCTGGTGACAACGGTCTGGTCAATAGCAATTGGGTGAGAATGCTCCAATGCATCACAAACTGGCTGAGAACTCTCTGTTCGATAACCATTTGGCCCCAAATGGATTTGATCAAAAGCAATTTAGCACAAAACCATCTGTTTTGAAACAAATTGGCTAATGACAATTTGGCCAATGATGATTTGGCCAAAATCAATTTAGCAGAAAACAATTTGGCCCGAGATTATCTGGTTTAGTGATCTGCCTGGAGCTGCTGGTTGAAAGCAATTTGTGGAGAGCAACTCGTCTGAAATGGCAAGTTGATGACGACGACAGGTGGGCGGGGAAGACACACTGGTCATGATCAAAGGTTGCACAGGCCCCTGGGCCAGGAGCAGGCAGCCGGAACAACCCCCGTCCTTAGCTTTCTGCATCCCAGGGACTTGGGGGCCCAGGCTGGGGACAATGCCAATTCTGCACACACCACTGAGCCATGCAAAATTGGGATTTGGGGACTTGAAAGGTGTTTTCCTACCTTTTAAGCCTTTTGTATTCGAAACTAATTTTTAGGGAATGGTCCCTCATAATTTGCAATGAATTCCTCTTTTCCACCCATCTGTGGTCCCAGCCACCTGGCTCTCCTTTCCGGCCAAATGTTCTCCAGACACTGGGAGGCCCTTCAGCGGGCTCTGGGGCACTCACCCGCTCCCAGTCCTGGGCCAGCCAGTGGGCGGGACAGTTTTTGTCCCCACAGGGGTGGATGGCCAGAGGCTTGGTCTCCATCTGGCACTGGGACTCAGGTACCACTCGTCCGTCGCTGGTCTTGCAGTACACGTGCCTGATGGTGCGGCCTTGCCCGCAGCTTCCACTGCACTGCAGGGGAGAGAACAGGCAGGGGACATCGAGTGAGAGGCAGCCACGCCAGGAGGGGCCCTGGATGTCAGTCCCAAGGGAGAGGAGTGGCTCCCAGGCAGTGTCGAAGCGGTTGCCACGGTAACCACTTTTTAAATAACATTTTCTGTTCTAATTACAGAAATAATGCATGCTTGATGAAAAGCACACACAGAGAAAAGCACACTTAAAAAGATCTGTGCACCCACCACCCAGAGGCGACCCCAGCTAGCATCTGAGTATCTCTCTCGATGAGAGAGACCGGGAAAGAGACAGAGACACAGAGAGACAGAGATAGGGGGAGACAGAGAGACTCGGAGACAAACAGAGACAGGGAGACAGAGACAGACAGAGGGACAGAGACACAGACACAGACAGGGAGATAACGGCAGAGAGAGACACAGAGAGATAAACAGGTGATAGAGGGAAGGTGATGCTGGTCACGTGTTTGGAGAGAAGTTTTGATTCCTATGGTAACACGGGAGAAGGCTGGTTGGACAGTCTTCACCTCACACCCTTGCCTCAGAAAAAATGGAAACAGAGGCACATCAAGGCAAAGCTCTGGGACCCCTCACCAGCCACACGCCCAGCCACCCCTCAGTGCAGGCCTCACCGGTCCCCAATCGGAGACAGTCCACTGCCGGTCACAGGGCGGGCCCGTGCAGTTCTTCTCCCCTACAGGCCTGGTGTTGGGGTCACACAGCTTCTCATCCTCTGAGCAGCGGATGTCCCTGGTCACCACACTGCGCTCCCCACACTTGGCAGTGCACTGTGGCAGCAGGGGGAGGGGGTGGGGGGGCATGGTGAAGGTGTAGCCACCTCCATTTCCCAAGCCCAGCTCCCCAGCTCTTCCTGACCCCCGGCTTGCTCCCGCAGGCACTCACCTCGGACCACTCTGACATCTCCCACTGGGGCCCGCAGGCGGGGTTCCGGCAGGTCTTTCGTTCCTCAGGCCGCACGGCCTCGGCTGCCTCACACAGGTCGCTGTACACGGAGCTGTCGAAGCCGGGCGAGAGCATCTTCCAGCAGCGCACGACGCGGAACTGGTAGCCCTCTCCGCAGGTGCGCGAACACTCGCTCCAGCTGCTCGTCTCCCACCTGCCCCGGGAGCAGATGGCCTTCAACGATCCCCCTGTGATGACCGGGACCCCATGCAACCCACACCCCTAGAGACAACACGGTTCCCCCCCCCATGTGGTCCAAAACCACACGCCACAAGCTAAGCTGGACAGGAGGGTGTCGAGGCCCAAGGGTGCAGGCTGGGCCATGACGGCCCCGGAGGTCTTCAGGGAGCACCTTAGCAAGGTGGTTGGCGGGTGCCCTGAGTGTGGGCTCGGCATTCCTGCCCCTTTGTGCCCTGCTGTGTCACACAGGTGGCTGTGCCCCCATGGGACTCTGACGAGGGTGGAAGTGAGCAGAAGGCACATTTCTGGATCTGTGTCCAGAAAGGGGGCCTGGCCAGCGTGCTGGGGAAAGACCTCGTTCCCCTCAGCCTGAGCTGGGAGAGGTTATGAACAAGACTTGGAAGTCTTCCAGGCAGATAGACTTGGAATAAGAGGTCCAAAGCTGATGGGCTCTGAGCGGAAGGACAGGGCCTGCTGGACGCCACCCCTGGGCCAGGCTTAGCAGCATTCTGGAGACCCTGGGCGTTCTGCCCTTCCCAGAAAGGAGCAAACGTGCAGGATGCGGGAGGCCCTGGATGGAGCAGCCCAGAAAAGAAGAGGCAGTGTGGTTGTGTGCAGGGAGCAGGAGAGCTCAGCCTCCAAGGAGCGTGGGATCCTCGTTGGTGGAGGCCGGCACCCTCAGGCTCATCTGGGGACCCCACTTGTCACTAGGGGTAGGATGCACTCAGCTCAGTCTGACTGCGTCCACAAGGCAGGAGACGAGGCCCAGGGGTCAAGAAAACAGGCCTCCACCCACATCCAAGGGACAGTCAATAGGCATGGAATCGTGGAAATAATCCCTTTGGGTTTCTAAAAATCCTAGATGTGCCAAGCGGACCTGGTGGGGCAAAGAGATCTCTGTAACATAGAGTAATGTTGAGAATGGTTTCTAAATCTATGGTGGCAAGCATTTATGGAGCACCTACTGTATACGAGGCACAGTGACAGATTAAACTGCAACTCCTGGGAAGACACAGAAGGTCTCTGAGAGGTGAGGTCTCTATGCCCCTCCTCAAAGCACCCCCACGGACCTGCACACAAAGCACCTCTACGGGGCAGCGGGGTAAGTCTGACTGCTTCTCTGGGCAGAGCCCCGCACCCCCCTTCCAAGCCCCTGCCCAGGGCCCCCGGTGGCAGGTACCTGGGCTGGCACTCCCTCCCGGCGCAGAACTCGTGTACAGGCTCGGGACGAGTCAGGGCATCGCAATAGCTGTCATCCACCTCGACCCCATCGTAGCGGACACACATGGCGTACGTAGACATGACCCCTGGGTTTGGGACGGGGAGGGCCTGTAAGCCATGCACCTCGGAGCCCAGGAGACAGGCCTCAGGACTTGGGGCAAGTCACCTGACCTCCAGCTCAGCTTTCTGGCTTGGGGATCAGTCACAGCTTGTGGAACTGCAGCATTAGAGCAGCACTGTGGGTCTAAGCTGTGCGGGTCCGAGCTCTTCTCTTTGCCCCCCGACCCCACCCCACCCATCCCGGCTGGGCTCCCAGTTCCCACGTCACGGAGTCCGGGCTTTGAGTCCACTCCAGCTGGCCCCCGTGGAGGTGCAGAGGCAAACACAGTCAGGTGTCCCCCATTGCCAGGCGTTCAGCAACCACCCATTGCTGGGTGGACGGGCAGGTGGGAGTGAAACCTGACCGCTCCAGCCCCGTCAGCCCCCTCAGAGGTCATGGTGGGGGCTTGGGTGCGCCCTGCCCTCTACGGCATGCCCCGGACTTAGCAAGCATCATCTTGAACTTTATTTTTTTGAGATAGAGCCTCACTCCGTGGCCCAGGCTGGAGTGCACTGGTGCAATCTCAGCTCACTGCAACCTCCCCATCCTGGGTTCAAGCAATTCTCCTGCCTCAGCCTCCTGAGCAGCTGGGATTACAGGGACCTGTCATCACGCCCGGCTAATTTGTGTATTTTCATAGAGACAGGGTTTCACCATGTTGGTCAGGCTGGTCTTGAACTCCTGACCTCAGGTGATCTGCCCGCCTCGGCCTCCCACAGTGCTGGGATGACAGGCGTGAGCCACCATGCCAGGCCTGAACTTTCTTTAATCATCACTGTGTGCCTGTCTTTGCTGGTGCCCCATACTCTGTAATCCCATCGGGGGACAGTGGGTGACAGGCAGCCCTCACCTAGCAGTGCCACTTCCTTGACCACATCTCCACCTTTTGCTTCTCTTGTCCTCGCCCTGACACCCTCACCTGGTACCGAACTGCCACACAGGCCCAGCTCCCTGCCCAGGAGCAGGATGATGCTGGGGGAGCCGGCAGCAGTGGGAACAGGCTTGGGCTGGGGTTAGGGTTTGCTGCTTCTGCTGTGTGTGTGTGTGTGAGAGTGTGAGAGTGTGTGTGTGTGTGTGTGTGTGTGTGTGTGTGTGTGGCCACCGGAGACAGACCCAGCCTTCCGGGATGACGGGCATCATGGAACGGTCTTGGCTGCAGCTGCCAGTTCCCCCAGAAGGAAATCGGTTTCCCCATACCCAGAGAGCCCAGCCACCCAGCGGCGCGTGTCTGCAGGCCAGCGGCTCCTGCCTCTCCAAGCCCCAGCCCTGGATGGAACGAAACAGCCTGGGAAGCAGCCGACAACGGGATTTTTTCTTTTTTCCGTCAAGGACGAGCCAGGCTGCAATCACGGTTCCTCTCCCGCCAGAGCTGGGCCGTGCAGCCTTTAGCCTTCTCTGAGGGGGAGGCAGGCTTCCCGGCCAGGTCTGCTCGGAATGTTCCAGGCCTCAGAGACACCCGCTCTGGGGCCCAGGGAGGTGTGGGGCTGGGGACTTGCAGACCATCGCCAAGTGCCTGGTTATTCATTCGCTCCTCGTCATGGAGTGGAAACGCGGCAGGCCTTGGTCAAGAGAGACTGGAATCCAAGTCCCAGCTCAGTGCCTCCCTGGGGTGACGTGACCGTGACCGGACTCCAGGCCTCAGCGTGCTCCTTCCCAAAATGAGAACCTTCCAGAAAGCGGGTGAGAATCCAATGCCAGGATGTTTTTTCCTGGGCACCCTCTTCATGACACCCATCTCGAAAAGGGTGCTTTTCAAACCCCCTGAGCCACAGAACCCTCCCTGAAACAAAAGAAAGGGGAGGATGAAGCCTGGGGGCTGCGGGATCCACTGTCCTCACCACGGTGCCCTGGAGCACCGAAGGGCAGCAGACACTTCCGCCTGTGACCCAAGCTGAGGCCAAACTCACGCCCCTCTGTTGCTGTGGCTCCAAAAGAGTGTCTTCAAAGAAAAATCTAAAAGCAAGCCTCCCCACCGTGACCAAAGCTCAGGGCAGGCTGACCCGCCCCACTGATGGCACTGCCCTGTGCCTGGGTTCTTGCGAAGCACAAGATGGAGGGTGCGCCAATGACCATCCATGAGACATCCACACGGACACAACCTATGAAAAGGGTAGACCCTGACTCTGTTATTTCTGCCCAGTGCCATTCAGCACCTCCCACAGTGACAGGGAACTCTCCCTCCCTCCTGCCCTCTCTCTCTCTCTCTCTCTGTCTCTCTGGGTGGCTCATCTCTATTTCTGAACAGCCTCCTCTAAAGCAGGCTTCCTTCTTCCAGAGCCAAAACCTGTCTTTCTGATTTCCTGTTGTCCTCTGCTCCACTGCACCTTGGACCACGCTGCACAGACCCAGTCCAGCCCCCTCCCTGCCATTCTCTGGGTGTTGGGAGACGGTACTGTGTCCTCCCTGGGGACGCCTTCCACACAGGGCTGCCCATCAGGCCCCTCGCCACCGAGGCTGCCTCACCCTGCAGACGTCTCGAGCGACATCCCCTCCCCAGCCAGCGATGTGTCTGGGAGGAATCACAGATGTTTGCAGACACTTAGTGACAACGCCCACAGGCTTGACACTTACTGACAACGCCCACACACTTGGAGTCCCCTGGCCGGGAAGTGTGGAGGAACTCAGGGCAGGTCCGCAAAGGACTTGGCAAAGCAGACCCCCGTGCTGACACCCCGCCACCAAGCTCAGCTACCCTCGGGGCCTGCCCGGAAGGCAGGTCACATGGCTCACTTCCGAGGCCAGCTGTTCCTGGGCATGGTGGAAGCCGCACCCTGCGTCAGGTGGTGGCAGCCACCCTCAGCACAGCAGCATCCATTGACCTCTGACCAGGAGAGGTTATTTCTTGTTTCATGTGGATCCCCACAACCCACCTTTGACATAAATATGTGTCCCAGTTCACCTGTGGAAAATGGGGGCTCGGAAGGATTTGGCAATTTGCCCAGGGCCCATGGTGTGGTCAACCAGGCGGTGCAAGCCTGGCCGTGCAAGCCTGGCCAAGCTGGGTGCTCACCACACCGCCCACAGCATTTGTTTTCCCTCCAGAATGCCAGGCGCAGGGGCAAACACAGCATGCCCCGTGGCTATGCCCTGCTTGGGGGCTCATATAACAGGAGACGGAGCCCTTTCTTCAGCCCCAGAGAGGCAAGGCCAGTGTGAGCAGAGCCTGCATGGTTGCCCCAGCCCCTCCCTCTCTTGGACCCATCTCCTGAGATGCCAGCAGGGCTGCAGAGGGGGTGGCCAAGCTCAGACTGCCCAGCTGCATGGATCCTCACTGGCCAGAGACTGTAAGGGCATCAAATGCCCTGGCAAATGGGGGGCACTGGGGTGGGGCCAAGAGCATCAAACCTTTTGAGGGGCAGCTGGGTGTCCTCTATATCCAAACATGAAGCCCCAAGAATAGATAAAATGTGACCTCAGAGCTGGCACTGGGGTCTCCCTACCACATTTTCTCCCCTGTCAACGCCCCTGTATCCTGGTCCCGGGTTTGACATCCGACCTTGTGGCATCCCCCAGGGGAGGGTACCAGAGTGGGCAGCAGAGGCAGCTCCAGCTCCCAGCAGCTGTGGCCAGTGCCTCGGGGCGATGGTGGCTGTGCAGCCAGACAGCTGTGGGTTCAAATCCCAGCTCAGCTCTTACTAACCACACACATCTGTCTGTCCAGGAACCACTGCAGAGGGTCTTTTTCCCCTTCCTAATTCCTCTCCTGCTGATGAGGTCCTAGAAATTGCCTACTTCCCTTCTTCATAGATCACAGGGGCCTGTGACTCCCTTACTATGTTTGCTGGAAGCAAAAGTAAAATCTCTGCTACCTAAGATTTCTTACTTTTAACCCAAAGGATGTTTGCCCTAACAAAACATGGTATCACTGGCAACAGACAAGGGATCATTGGTGGTGGACTGGGTGACCCCCTGGGGGCCTGGACCCGACCATGGTCTAGCACACTGTGAGAACGAGGGTGGCCTCACCAGACACCCAAACTCCTATCACGCCACACCGCCCCCGAGTCAGGAGGCCACCAGACAAGCACCCCGAGGGCAGTTTGGGGTTGTAAGCTAGTGGGTGGGCCCGACAGCCCCAGCCCGCGTCTGTGGAAATGGGTTCAGGGCAGTTGCTGCCCCTTGGCACCCATGGCACCCGTGACCAGTACCTGTGGTGCAGGTGGCACTGCAGGGCTCATGGGATGAGAGCTTCCACCGGTACATGTCCGCGGGACTCACGCCTTGCTTGCGCGCCTTGGGCCTGGTCCTGAAAGCGAGATCAAGCAGAGAAGGCGATGAGAAGCTCCACGCCTCACCGGCGGGCTCTGGCTTTTCAGGTGAGTGTGTTTTCTTTGGAGAGTACGTTCACCTGAAGCACACACCTGTCGGCCCCAGGCCGACTCTCCACCCGCTACAGTCAGAGTTCCCACTGTCTGAAGTGGAACGGATGAGGCGCCCCCGGAGCGGCACATTTTAGGATCGAACAGACATTGTTTCCATCTCAGTAACTGCATGGGAGCTGCCCAAGCTCCTTCTGGGGGGCAGGGTGGCCTGAGAATTTGGGGCCCCCAGCACTGTAGTTGCTCCTGCACACACGCAGGCTTCTCGATATCACCTTCTCACATCAGCTAGTGGGTTCCTTCTTCCCACCGGGGAGGGGACCTCAGAGGGTGTCTTATGTACTAAGAATGTTCCAGAATTCTCTCCCACCCCCTCCTCCAGCTGGGACTCTGAGGGAATGGGGGACACTAGGCATCCAGCTTCCAATTATCAAAATTAAAAAGCTCGGCTGCTGGCAGAGGTGTGGCCACAGCCTACAGTGCAATCCGGGTTGGCCATGGCTGCACAGACCTGCTGGGGTTGGGGGAGGCACGCTGGGTCCCCGCCAGCCACCAGCTATGATTCTTGGCTGGAGCCTACGCAGCCAAAGCCAACTATTGTTAGGACTGTTTGCTTCTTTGAACCAGTAGGTGTGCCTGGGCCCAAGCTCCACATCCAATGTGCAGGCTGATTCTGGACTCGGCAGGGGAGGAGGGAAGCAGAGGCAGAGGCAGCTCCACAGCCCGGGCATCTGCTCTGGCACACTGCCATGGAGTCCCGCCGCCTCCGAGCCAGAGAAGGGGCGAGGGCAAGCCAGCACGGTGGACAGCAGGTCCTTCGAGCTTCAACTTTTTAAACAGGACAGTGCAGCAGGTGGCCCTGCCCAATTGGCTCCACTTTCCTCTGGGCCCAGAGGGACTGGCTAGAGATGACCCCGAGCTGCCATACGTCACTGGGCTGAAATGTGGGCCAGGTCACAGGTCCTTCTTCGGGACCTTCCGTCACCTGGGGGTGGTCAGGCTTAGAGCATTATATTCAGAAAGCCTTTCGGATTGACTCCGTGACAGAGACATGCGTTTGGATTGAACGGGGAGTTTACAATGTGTTAGGCAAGTGGGTGAGGATTGCTCTTGTGTTTTGCTTGGACTGGAATGGGAGGATCCCAAAGCCAGGCAGAACTTTTGGGGATGAACGTTGCCTTGACCACACATCTGAGGCCCCAGGAATGATCTACCCACAGGAGCTTCAGCAGTGAGTTCACCGGTGTGGTTCCCTAAACTCAGGGAGGGAGAAGACGAGTGAAGGGAGAAGGGATGAGGACCAAAGCCCAGGAAAGGCAGCAGGCTGGGGGCTGATCCACTTGTCTCTTCAAAGCCTCCCTCACCTGGGAGCTTCAAGCCAGGAGAGTCTGTCCCAGCCCATCCTGGGGCTCGAGGGGAAGGGGAGAGTGCCTTCTCCTCCCTCTTTAAAACTTAAAGCTTTAAAAACGGGGGTGGGGGCCAGGCGCAGTGACTGACGCCTGTAATCCCAGCACTTTGGGAGGCCGAGGCAGGTGGATCACGAGGTCAGGAGATCGAGACCATCCTGACTAACACGGTGAAACCCCATCTCTACTAAAAATACAAAAAAAATTCACCAGGCGTGCTGGCGGGCGCCTGTAGTCCCAGCCACTCAGGAGGCTGAGGCAGGAGGATGGCTTGAACCCGGGAGGCGGAGCTTGCAGTGAGCTGAGATGGCGCCACTGCACTCCAGCCTGGGCAACAGAGCGAGACTCCGTCTCAAAAAAAAAAAAAAAAAATGGGGGTGGCTGGGGGATTTCCCAAGACCCTGTCATATCAGAACAAAAGTTTCCTGGAAATCTGGAAACCTGTCCCAATGGGGGCCACTCAGAGCACCCAGATCGGGATGAGTAAGTCCTTTTAGGGAAGGGAGAACCTGGAAGACCAACCCTTAATGTTTGATTCAGAAAACACTAAACTGTGCTGACCAGGTCCCTACCTACTTTCAACAGCTTTAAATTCTCCCCGAGAACAAAAAGAAACGAAAAGATCCAACCCATGCCCCTCCACCCCACCCATGGAGGCGATCCGCCATCTTTATCTAATTACACGCTCTGAGCCAGCAGGCAGCATGACTCATGCCTGACTCAAGAGAGAGCGGGCCTGGTTCAAAATAACCCTTTGGATTTTAAGCACCAAAGGTATTTCTGGAGGGGCTGCCCACACACTCTTCGCAGCAGCACGTGTGGGGCATAGCAGATGCAACTCTCGAACATAACCCTGCATATATTTGCACAACAATGCAACGCCTAGCAGGTTCCGTTCTTGGAAGTAGCACAAGGAAATGGGACACCCAGGAAATCGCTGAAGCACCAACCCATCGCTCTCCTCCATCTGGAAGGAAGACACTGCCCCTCTCAGCTGTGAAAGTCAGAGCTGCTAGACTGGGGCTGGTGACGCCCGTGGAGTCACCACCAGACCGCCTGTCACTCCTCGGGGTCCTTTGCCCAGCTGCCTGGGCAGACACAGGCTCACGGGCTCCCCAGGCAGGAGAAGCTCTGAAGCCACCGTGTTTGTTTATACACAAGCCAGAAAGTACTCTGTTCTTCTCTCCCCCTAAGGCTTCGGAGAGGGACTCCGCGTCTCTGTGTCTCAGACGCTTGTTCCCAAAGTCGGAGTCTGGTGACAGGGGCCCCTCCCTTGATTGTTTGAAGCTTTTCTGGAAAGATGAAAATAGCCTTTCCTTTCTGGGCTGCCCCTTTGATTTTGCCTTCTCTGAGCACACACGACTTCCTGTGTTTGGACAACGCGGCCGAGACGTGGCTATTTTGGCCCTGGTGGTTTCCCCCGCTGCCTCCCTCTGCCCTTTATCTCTCCAGGCCATCTTTGGTCCCTGGGCGGCAGCATCCTTTGATGGCAGGCCGGTCGGGGGAGCAGCGGCATCTCGGCACTCGGGAACTTTCTGAGGGCTGACAACCTAGTTGATCAATCCTTGAGGCCCCTGACAGGCGCTGGAAATTCAATATATCCTGGGGCGGGGGGCTAGGAGGGGAGGGTAAGAGTCAACCAAGATGGGGCGGGAGAGACTCTTTACAAAGCGGCTTGACGATCAGAAAGCTTGTGCCATGACCCTGGCCTAAGGATCACTGAATATTTGACCTGGTGGGCCCTAAGGGCACCCCCTGACAAGCCCCTCAATGAGAGGTGGGCAAACTGAGGCCCAGAGGAAGACAGAGATGCTCAACTCACATGGTGTCCATGCCTTTAGCCAAATTCCACAGTGAGGTCTTGGTGCCACCCTGATAAACCTTTTCAGAGGGCTCTGACTGGCAGAGAGCTGGCCTCCCTGACCCAGGCAATGGGTCCTGAAAGGTGCCCTCCACTGCTGCCACTTGGAGGCTCAGTTTTCTACTAATAGCTTCTGCTTACGGGAGGCCTTACCGTGTACCCCACACACGGAATACCAGGTAATGCCCTGGACCGCCCTGGGAGGTGAGGAGGGCCCACGCTGAAGACGCAGACAGACTGGTAGCCTTGAGCAGTGCCATTCCCACGGGCAGGCACTGTCTGGGTCCGTCCCTCCCGTCCTTTGCCCAGGGTCCCCTATCAGACTCAGACATTGTACCCAAAGCAAGGCCCGGACTCCTCACCCAAGTCCTGAGAACCAGTCAGAGGTCCCACCTACCCAAGGCTTTGAGCATGTCAGGGTAAAGGGTGAGCAGACAGCCCTGTGCCACCCCTGCGGGAAGAGGGGTAGCTGGAGGAGGCTCCGGGCCCCACTCTGTCCACATCTGCAAAGTAGGGTTCTGCCCAGAGCCTGCCAGAAGTGTCCAGGACATCCTCCCTGTGCCCCACAGCCCCAGGCACCTCAGGGGCCTCAGAAAACAGTTTGAGCAAAGGGGCAGGCATGCCCTGGGGCCTCCTGGCTCACCAGGGAGGCTGGCTTCGTTGCTGTGGTCCCAGGGCTGGATGGGTGGAAGGGTGGCCCCAAACCACATCACCTCGAGAGTGAACCCTGAATCTCCCATCAAATTCAGTCCCTGAGCCCCAAGAAGACCCACTCAGCACTCCCGGCCCAGGCCGGGTTCAGTCCATGCTTGCGTCTAAAGTCAAGGGGCTTGGGCTAGACCTCAGAAAATAAACCCAAATACCAGTGGGCCCATGCCTGCCTCCAACCCCCACTCAACGCCGGTTTAAAATAGCTCCCAGGCGCATATGAGTTGCTGGGAGACAGTGTGGGGACCTTCAAGGGGGGCCCACCCTCTATCTGGGGGTGGGGGGAGCTTGTCACCAGGGACTATGCTCCAGTAGGGACATGGCAGGTCTGGGGTCACCCTGCTCACAGCTGGCCCCTGACCCAGGGACGCTCCCAACCTCACGCTCCCCCAGGTCTAGCTGTGACTGCCCCGGCATCCCCAGCTGTGACTGTCCAGACATCCCTGGCTGTGACTGCCCAGGTGCCCCCAGACATGGCTGCCCATGTAACCCCAGCTGCGGCCTTGGCTCTGGACGCCTGGCCCCAGGTGGACTCTCTCATGGCCCTCGCCAGCTGCAATGCCAACCTTGTTATTCATCCCTGATTTCAGGGTCGTGGAGGAACCCACCAGATCCTCTCCAGCCCTTGCTGAGGCCTGGGGCTGAGGCACTCTGCACTTGGGAAGCTGCCCGGAGCTCTGCCTCCTCCTAAAGGCGTGTCTGCCATGACTGTCCAGACTTCGAACTCAGGGGTCCCAGGTCCTCGGGCTCTGGGACCTCGAATACACCGCTAGCCCTCTCTGAGCCCACAATAGCCACCCCACCGCTAAGGGCGGTTGTGACAATGGCACGTGTCTATGCATATAAAACGCTGAGCTCCGTCCCTGGCTCACAAGCAGTGCTCAGAGCTGTTACCTTCCAGCCTCCCTTCCCCGCATCAGCTGCACACATAGGGGCTCAGCCCTGGATCCTAATCCACGGACGTAACTTTTGGGGAAAATTCACTCCAGTCCAGGCCTCTGACTTTGTGCTCAGATCCACAGGGCAGTGAGTGGAGAACTACAGGAAGAAGGGGCCCTCTCTCCTCTATCTCTAGGACCCCAGCCCTTCTGGCCAGACCCCCCACAGTAGGGCCTCACTTTCTACCTGGCCTCGGCCCCCTCCTGCCCCCGAGGGCCCTGGTCAGGGCTCAGGAAAGTGCTTCCTACCTGGCCTTGTGAGTCCTGTTCCCGGCCGAGGTGGGCAGGCTGGTGCTGACGTTGGGGAACGGGGCCTCGGCGGAGCTGTTGGCAACCCTGTCGCTGCTCAGCTCCAGGTAGGACCCGTTGAGCAGGTAAGCACCAGCCCCCTCGTTCTCCTCATAGTCCACGAAGAAGCTCTCGGCCAGGGAGCTCCTCGGAGCACCCTGCGCAAAGATGCTGTTCACAGTCTCATTGAGGGTGAAGTCCTTCAAGTCAGAGCCTGTGCCCAGCAGCTGGTCGGAGATGGCATTAGCCGAGAAGAACTCCTGGGAGGCGAAGTGGGTGTCAACCTCTTGGTCATCCTTGTCCCCGGCGAGAGGAGTCCCTGTGATGTTGAGATCTAGAGAGGAGACAGGTGGCTCAATCATGAGTGTACCCCAGCCCTGGGGGCAAGGGCTGCCCTGGGGAGGGTACCTGGACGAGGGGCGATGGAAACACCGAGCTGAACCAAGAAGCTTCCAGAAGGAAGGCTTCTGCCCAACTAGAGGATAAAATTCGGCCAAGACGGAGGCACGAAGCACACCTGGACCATCTCTCGCTGACGAACTTCTGCAGTGGATTGACTAGCATCCCCCCAAAATTCATACCCCGCCCCCGGAACCTCAGAGTGTGATCTTATTTGGAAATAGGGTCATTGTAGATATAATGAGTTAAGAATCTTGAGATGAAATGATCGTGGACTGAGAAATATCCTTATCAGAAAGGGACAGACAGAGACACTGTCACAGAGGAGGCGGCCCGTGAGGAAAAAGGCAGAGGCCAGAGTGACACGGTCACAACCAAGGGGCACCTGGGGCCCCCGAAGCTTTTGCTCCCTGTGGTGTCTCAGCTGAGGCGAGACCAGGTGCTCGCTGAATGAGCGATGGGATGGGCGAGAGATCAGACCATCCCAGGTTTGACTCCCAGCTCCTCCACGGTGGACTGTGTGACTTGGCCAAACCACTTCCTCTTTCTAAGCCTCAGTCTCCTCATCCATCAAATGGGGATAACCGCATCTACCTCAAAGAATGCATGGACAGAAGGACCTATCCCAAGTACTTAACCTGCGCTTGCCCAGAGGACATCTGCAGGTACTTGGCAGCTCTTACGAATCTCCTCTGTAGGTTTGCAAAGGGCCTGAGACCCCTCCCCCAAGATCTCCTTCCCTGGGCTGCCTCCCAGGCCCCACCCCCATGCCTCCCTCCTCCTGGTTACCTCGGAAGCCCTTGCCCCTGGGGGGCCCCTCGCAGGCCCCGCCGCCGGCCTGCTCGCACACCTCGTTGGTCTCCTGGCCCTGACTCGGGCCCAGCTCCATGTCCAGGCCCGGGTGGCCGAACAGCCGGTTGTCCAGGCCCAGCCGCTCTGAGGAGGCTTGGCCGTAGAGGGAGCCGTTGTGTGGGACGAAGCCCATCAGCCCGGCCCCGTCCAGGCCCTGGCTCTCAGCGCTCTCGGAGGCGGGCTCGGAGAAGCCGTAGTAGACCGGCTGGGGGCGGCGCTCGTGCGGCTCGTGCGGTGGCTGCAGCAGCGTGTACTCAAAGGTGATGGAGGGGCTTTTGCCATTCTGGTTCCACACCTAGGGAAAGAGAAGTGGGGCCCCAGCCCCTCCTTACTCTGTCCAGCCCCTTCCCCACCAATCCCCTTCCCACAGAGCTGCTGGGAGGATTGTCTGCTGTGACTCACAGCTGAGTCCCCCCAGGGAATAACACTGCCTTGCCCAGCCCAACACAGCGTCCCTGCCCCAGGGGCATCCAAGTCAAACCCTGAGAACAGGGCGGGCGCTGGGGGAGTGTGGTTGGGGGAATGGCCCGCCCTGGGTACAGGTAACAAGAGGCAGGCTGTATGTGGAGAATTTAAGTAATGAAGTCAACTAAAACCTGGCTTGCATTTTCTCCTCACCACGTGCCAGAAATCCTAAGTAATTAGTGTCCTCCCATCACCCTCCAACCCAGAGCCCCACCACGCAGGCCAGCGTGGGAGCACAAAGACCCAGGGTCTGCCTCAATTCGAGACAACAATGAAGGCTCATCCCCGCTCCAGGGCTCCCTGTGGGATGGGCTGAGGCCGCTGGCAGACCCCGGGGCAGCCCGGCTTCTCCCTCTGCAGACCCCTGCTGCCCCTCTCTCTAGGAGTTGCTCTTTCCAGAGATTCCAACCAAAACCAGCCGGTGTCAGGAGCAGGGAGGCCTAGGAAGCAGACTCTAAAATGGGGTGTTGGAGAGGATCACCTGCTGGCAGAGGCAATCAGGGTCCATCTGGGAGTGGCTGGAGCACGAAGACCCCCGGAAGACAATGCCGTTGTGAAAAGGTTCATTGGGAACTGAGAGGGAATGCCAGTGAAAGGAAAGGCACTATTGGTGTGATAGCTCAAGTGTTTGAGAGTTGGCTGGGGCAGGGGTAGCGATTAAAAACTTGTAAAGGGGCCGGGCGCGGTGGCTCAAGCCTGTAATCCCAGCACTTTGGAAGGCCGAGACGGGTGGATCACGAGGTCAGAGACAGACCTCCTGGTACACGGGAACCTCCTCTACTAAAATACAAAAACGCCGGCGTGGTGGCTCACGCCTGTAATCCCAGCACTTTGGAAGGCCGAGACGGGTGGATCACGAGGTCAGGAGATCGAGACCATCCTGGCTAACACGGTGAAACCTCCTCTCTACTAAAAAATACAAAAAACTAGCCGGGCGAGGTGGCGGGCGCCTGTCGTCCCAGCTACTCGGGAGGCTGAGGCAGGAGAATGGCGTGAACCCAGGAGGCGGAGCTTGCAGTGAGCCGAGATCTGGCCACTGCACTCCAGCCTGGGCGACAGAGCGAGACTCCGTCTCAAAAAAAAAAAAAAAAAAATTGTAAAGGACTGTGGAAGTAAAGGACCCCAAGAATGAAAGGACGGCCCGGAAAGGTGAGGGTCTGTGCAGTAGCAGAGAAAGACACCCTCGTGTCAAGCAACTGGAAGGTGGGAGAGGCAGAGGTGCCTCCAAGGAGCAGAGAGTGTGCTCCTCCCAACTCTGCTGGGCCTGCTATGCCCAGGACAGAGTCCAACCAGAAGAGGGGGACCTTGAGACTCAGGGTGTGGGGATCTGAGTCAATACGCTTGAAAAACTTCAAATCTCAAAAGTCCCAAGTCTTCGGAGCCTAAAAAATGGGTCCGTCTCATTCCTCCCTGTTAAAGCCAGCACTACTCCGGCCTGAAAATGACAGAGAGACCTCTGCCTTCACGGCCACGTGGACCTCCCACAGGACTTGGCCTGCCCTTCTCTCCCAGCCACCAGAGCAATAGCTTGGATTAAGTCACATTCTCACCCGGTCCGGGGAGTCCTGGGAGAAGGGACTGTACACCAACAGAACGTCAGGACCAGCCCTCAGGAACTGCTGGGTGCATCCTCTCATGACAAAGACTTTAGCACATTGGTGAGAACGTGGGGAGAAATGCTACCAGGCTACTAGGATGGTACTTAGAAGCATGGAGAGCAGAGATGGGCACGGTGGCTCAAGCCTGTAATCCCAGCACTTTGGGAGGCCGAGACGGGTGGATCACGAGGTCAAGAAATCGAGACCATCCTGGCTAACACGGTGAAACCCTGTCTCTACTAAAAAATACAAGAAACTAGCCGGGCATGGTAGTGGGCGCCTGTAGTCCCAGCTACTCGGTAGGCTGAGGCAGGAGAGCCGAGATCTGGCCACTGCACTCCAGCCTGGGCAACAGAGTGAGACTCTGTTTCAAAAAAAAAGAAGCACGGAGAAGGCAGGGGCTGACCTACATGAGGCAGATGTAGCCAGCCCATCATATCCTGCATTTTTTTTTTTTTTGAGACGGAGTCTCGCTCTATCCCCCAGGCTGGAGTGCTGTGGCATGATCTCGGCTCACTGCAAGCTCCGCCTCCCGGGTTCACACCATTCTCCTGCCTCAGCCTCCCGAGTAGCTGGGACTACAGGCGCCCGCCACCACGACCTGCTAATTTTGTTTTTGTATTTTTAGTAGAGATGGGGTTTCAATGTGTTAGACAGGATGGATTCAATTTCCTGACCTCATGATCCACCCGCCTCGGCCTCCTAAAGTGGTGGGATTACAGGCATGAGCCACCGCGCCTGGCCCACATTCCGCCTTTAACTCAATAGTTTAGCCTCCACAATAACCAGACAGACCCCGGAGGATCTGCCGTCTGAGTCTACATGGGTACTGCATCCTCCACCAAGCGGGCACCCTCCACTGCCAGGGCGTGACCACTGTGTTCTCTCTCCTAGAGCGGATGAGCATGGCCTCATGTTGATCCTAGGTGGCCACTGATCTGGAAAATATGTTCTTTTCTATCCCTGCCAAGAAGGTGGACCAGAAATGATTTCCTTCCCCTGGGGCGGACAACCGTACACGTTTACAGTCTTGACCCAGGGCAACGCTTACGTTTCCGCTCCCAATTACAATACACTGTAAAGGCATCTGGACCACTCCAAGAACTTGACCTTTGTCCTCTGCACTGATACTTAGCGGCTCAGAGGAGCAGGCACTGGCACTAGAGGTCTTGGTAAAGCACCTGCCTTTCAGAGGAGCAGAGATTCAACCCCGTGAACATTCAGCGGCCCCCTACATTAGTGGAAATGTCAGGGTTCAGTGGGTTGGGGTACGCCAGACATCTCTTTGAGAGGAAGGGGAAATTGATGGCATCTCGTCCCCTCCACCACGAAGAATAATTCTGGAGCCAGCATATTCTACATCCAAGAATGTTCAATTCATCTGCTGGGTGACATTAAAAGCTGCTGCTGGACAGGTGCAGTGGCTCATGCCTGTAATCCCAGCACTTTGGGAGGCCGAGGCAGACAGATCATGAGGTCAGGAGTTTGAGACCAGCCTGGCCAACATGGCGAAACCCCGTCTCTACTAAAAATACAAAAATTAGCTGGGCCTGGTGGTGCACGCCTGTAGTCCCAGCTACTCTGGAGGCTGAGGCAGGAGAATCATTTGAACCCAGGAGGCGGAGGTTGCAGGGAGCCGAGATTGCACCATTGCACTGTAGCCTGGGCAACAGGGTGAGACTCCATCTCAAAAAAACAAAACAAAACAAAACAAAAAAAACAGGTGCTGCTTTGGGTGGAATCCTGAGTGGAAGGGGCCCCACAGCACGTCCAGGCTGTGAGGCAAGCAGCCTGCCACATGGAAAGTATGACCTGGCGGATCCTATAGGAATAGAGGTATCTGTGGTAGGGAAAGATGTCAGACGGAATTTCTGGAAAGCCTTTAGGGAAAGCATAACATAGAACCCTGTGGTTCTGGAGCAAGGCCATCTGCAGCAAATAAATATACATCAGTTGCAAAAAACTTCTGGCACGCTGTGAGGCCCTACTAGAGAAGGAACGCTTGGGCTGCGGGACATCAGGCGACCCACGCAGCCAGAGCTGCCTCCAACATGAGTCCTATCAGCTCCGCCAGCAGCAATCCATCATAAGGTGGAAGTGTTACACCAGGGCTAGGCACAAGCACGGCCAGAGGGTACGAGCGCACTGTGTCAGCAAGGGACCCAAACTCCCCCATCCAAGACCCTTGCACCCACATCCCCTTTCTAGCTCACAGCTATGGCTGGCGGGTGGTGGGCAGGGGGGGCTTGTGATGAAGGGAGAGCAGAGAAAAATGGCCAAACTTGATTCAGTGATGGGTCGGCTTGCCCTGAGGGTGCAAGCTGGAAATGGGCTCTACTTCACTGAAGCCCCATCCAGGGCTGGCCTGGAAAAATGGCAGTGAAGGAAAATCTTCCCTACAGGCTTCAGGCAGCGCACGTGATGTGAGCGTCGGTGTGATGGGAGGCAGGGCAACCCGAGATGAGAATATGAACTGAATCACGGTCGGTGGCAAGTGGCTCGGCTGGCTGGTCAGGTCAGGAGCCTGGATGGGAAAGATCCGAAGGCTGGAGACCATGAGATCTGGAGGAGGCCCCTGTGGCTGGATCTAGGGAGTGGGCATAATGGAGGTCCTCATTTCACTTGTTAATTTGTACCAGGAAGCATCACCACGCGAGAGGCACTAAACACCCCAGTAGAAGACAGAATGGCCTTGCCACCGGACACAGGCTAGTCGCTGGCATCAGTCACCCCACTGCAGGCACAATGAATCAGCGTGGAGGAACACGGCTTCTCACTCACCACAGCCACCATAGCTCCTTCCACTCCTGAACGTCCAGTCTCTGGCCTCAACACTAAGCCTCTAAACAGCACCGCCTCTCAAGGAGGCCACTCAGCTACTGGGTGACAACCTGATCACAACAGACCGCTTCCATCCTGGAAGGGGAAACGCCGAATCTGGTCCTAAATAAAAGTTGCGTTTCCTGCCCACAGAACCTCAGCCAGCCCTAACACCCAAGGGCTCACAGAGCATCTGATTGACCGAGACAGGATACCAATAACATGGCACTGGACAAAGGGACCCCCTTTATATCAGAGGACGTGACACAACGGGCACACGACTGTGAGATCCACTGGGCCTGCCATATCCTACAATACCCAGAAACGCCAGCCTGATGGAGCAATGGAGGGGGAGCCACGGTGCCAGCTGAGAGGCCACACACCTGTGAGGGTGGAGCATCCCCCATGAGGTACCACCCACATAAATCAAAGGATTTTCCTTCACTGCCGTTTTTCCAGGCCAGCCCTGGATAGGGCTTTAGTGAAGTAGAGCCCATTTCCAGCTTGCACCCTCAGGGCAAGCCGACCCACCTCTGAAAAGAGTTTGGCCATTTTTCTCTGCTCTTACTTCATCGTGAGGGCCCCCCCCCACACAGCCATAGCTGTGAGCTAGAAAGGGGATGTGGGGACGAGGGTCTTGGATGGGAGAGCTTGTGTCCTTTGCTGACACAGCTCTCTTGTACCCTCTGGCCCTGTGCTTCGTCCTGGTGCTATGTGCCCAGTACGTAGACGACATGGGTCTGGGACGCAGGAGAGGCAGTAGCAGTAGCGATCATTCCCAGCCACCACTTGGGGACTGTGTGTTCCCCATCCCTGCAGCTCTGGGGTCTGTGGTCTAGAGGCCTTGGTTTGCACAGGGGGAACATTTCCATCCAAAGATGTAGCAACAGTTTCATTACGCTTTAGGCTGTGGCCACACATGGTCCGTTTGAACATTTTGTACCAAGAGACCAGCAGCATGGAAATGAGTGGCCGTCCTGGCGGGGTGATCGACCTTGATGATCAACAGCAGAGAGGCCAGGGGAGGTGGCTCACGCCTATAATCCAAGCATTTTGAGAGGCCAAGGCAGGAGGGTCACTTGAGGCCCAGAGTTCGAGACCAGCCTGGACAACATAGCAAGACCCTCTCTCTTATGCCGGGCACAGTGGCTCACGCCTGTAATCCCAGCACTTTGGGAGGCTGAGGCAGGCGGATCACAAGGTCAGGAGATCGAGACCACGGTGAAACCCCATCTCTACTAAAGATACAAAAAATTAGCCCGGCACGGTGGCGGGCGCCTGTAGTCCCAGCTACTCAGGAGGCTGAGGCAGGAGAATGGCGTGAACCCGGGAGGCGGAGCTTGCAGTGAGCCGAGATCGCACCACTGCACTCCAGCCTGGGCGACAGAGCGAGACTCCATCTTAGAAAAAAAAAAAAAAAAGACCCTCTCTCTATTAAAAAAAAAAAAAAAAAAAAAAAAAGAGTAGGAAAGGCGTTGTTTGACCCTGGGGCCAAAGAATCTATGTGACACCTGCTGATGCCCTGGGCATCTCTTGGTATCCCCCTGCCCCTTGTGATGATAACTGGACAAAGCCAGCAGCCTCAGGTTGAGAAGGCCATGGAGACCAGGGTCACCTCACCAGGTAGCCACCTGGCCCCGCTGAGGTGCTAGCTCAGGCTAAGGGGAAATACAGCATGTCACAGAAGGAGGAAACTGAGTGTCAGTTGCAGCCCCTACACCAGCTGCAGTTCAGCCCACCAAACTTCCTCCTGTAAGGCTCCCCAAGAAAGAAACCAACGCAATTCTAGAGGAGCTGTTCCCTGCCAAGGCAGACTCATGCAAAGCGCATGGGTCCAAGCCATGCCGGGGGTGGACCACGGACCTCACCCTTCGGTGAACTGCCTGGGGTGGGCGTGCGACAGTTCACAGCTGTGCCCCGCCGGGCATTTCCCTCAGCCAGAGGGAGCTGTCTCTCCCCAGGTCATGCCCCCAACAAGAGGCAACTACACGTGGCAATACATGATGCCCTCCTGCCCAAACTGGAGATAATACGATCCCGGGGGGACTGGTCGAAGCCCACAGAAACTGCATCACAGCTCAGCTGCCCCCTCTGTCTAGTCCCATGCCCTCCTGCCCATACCAGCCAGTGTTCCCAAGGCCGCTCCTGACACTTCCCCCAAGCCCTCTTGCACGCAAACCCCCACCTCAGAGTCTATTTTCTGGGGACCCTGACCTACAAAACAGCCCCTACAGCCAGGAGGCGAAGCCAGGTGGCCAGTCCACCTCCAGACACAGCTCCAGGCAGGGCCAGGTAAGCATAGACACAGAGATGTGTGGCCCGCATTTGATTCCGGGGTCACCAGGAAAGCTCTTCAGCCAAAAAGCAGTGTGAGGAGACGGACAAGCACCCCCATTTAGAGACCCCTCCAGCACAGCAGCTAAACAAAGAACAGGCTCTGGCACCAGGCAGGCCTGGGTTCAAAGCCCAGTCGTGCCACTTACAATTCCATGACTGCTCAAGTCACTCACCTCTCTATGCCTACATTTCGTTACCTGCAACGTGAGGCAATGAAACCCACTACAGTGATATCTGGAAACCAAAACAGCTTAGGTAGGGAGGGGGCGCGGCTCCATCCCTGCTGTATTCCCTCGGCCTCCAGGAAAGCCAGTAGGCCTTGATGGCCACCACTACTGCCCATCTCAATGTCACCTGACTTTGGTGACATGACAAGTCCTTTACATATTTTCGGTCTGAGGCACCAATCCACCAGGGGCTTCATTTCCAGATGCTAGCCATAGGATAACTCGTGGCAAGCCGGGCATAACAGGCCCACATTCTCTCCTGCCCACTGCTCGGGCCCTGAGCCCCACCCCAGAACCCCTGAGTGTCCCGGGGAGGCCATGTCAGGGGAGGGGCAGGGGCCACAGGAACTACCTTGGGCCCTGGCACTAAGGACCCAGCACAAACACCATAGTGCCCAGGGGGGCGGAGCATGAAGCTAGATAGGGGCATAAACCCCTCCACCGTAGAGTGGGGAGGGGTCCAGCGTCGTCCTTAGTGCCCCGAGCTCCCTGTGGACTTCCCAAAGGGCAGGAAATGGGCAGCACGGAAACCCCGCTGGTCCACCGCTGGACCCCGCTGGTCCACCAGGGAAGCTAGCCACAGTGAATGGATGGATGAATGAATGATTTCAAGAAGTGGGTGAGAGAGTGGGTGGTTGAGTGAGAAGTGAACGGGTAAATGAATTAATGAACTGATGAGTGAATGGGAGACTGTGAATGAACCAAAATCTGAGTGAATGAATGAACGAGGGAGGCAGTTAGTGAAAGAACAAGTGAATGAGTAACAGTGATTGCACGTGAAGCCCAACCCAGAGTGGTGAGGCTGCCAGGTGCACGTGCACAGTGGCCCTGGGGGTGTCACAGGCTGGAAGCCCCCACCTGTGGCCAGATTCTGGGGAAGCAGTGCCCGGGGCCTCGGGGGCCCCCAAGGCCTGCGGCACACGCACCATGACGTTCAGGCCCTGGTTGGTGGGTCCCTGTGCCACGATGTACTCGATTCCGGTCTCATAGACATCCATGGGCCGCCGGTACTTGACCACGGTGCCTGCGATGTTGAAGTTCTTGGGGCTGTCCACCTTGTAGTTGCCGTTGAAGAAGTAGTAGCCAGCTTCGTCTGCAAGAGCTGGAAGGGCAAAACCGCCGGTCACAAAGGGCCAAACTGGCTGGGGGAGGAGGTAGTGTCACCGGCTCAGGGAACCACCACCGCCAGCCCTGCCCTCCAGAACCCCGGCCCAGATGCCCCCGAAACAGGAAACTCCCATCATGGAGAGTCTGGCCAGTGAATGCAGAGGAGGCGCAAACACACATTCCTCTCAGCCTACAATCAGCAATGAAGGACTTGTCTAGATGCTGAACACAGCTGGCTAGGGACCCATTTGCAGCTGTCTTTGAAGAAGCTGAGGCGCTGCAAAGTAATGAGGTCGCACCACGACCAAGGGACGCAGTCTGGAGCAGGACAGTCTGTGGCCTGTGGAAGGCACACATGAAGCTAGATAGGGGCATAAACCCCTCCACCATGAGGTGGGGAGGGGCCCAGCCTCGTTCTTAGTGCCCCGAGCTCCCTGTGGACTTCCCAAAGGGCAGGAAATGGGCCAGCACAGAACCCCCACTGGTCCACCAGGGAAGCTAGCCACAGTGAAAAGATGGATGAATGAACGATTTCACCAGCAGGAGTCCTGGGTGCCCCTCCCGTCGTCCACACAGAGCGACGCTGCAGCCCTGGCCTGGCCGGCATGGGGGGTGCCGACCACCAGGCCCTTCCTGGGGATCGCCCTGAGCTGGCCAGCTCCATCCTCTTCATAGGAGCAGAGACTTCCTGCTGCCCTTGCAGGCAGGGCCATGCTGACCCTTCACCCGTTAACGCGTGCACCCGGACCTGGCCGAGGTGCTCAATCAGGCCAGGACGGCCTGGCGCAATCTCAGCTGCCCTCTTCCTGGGGCCGGGTGGGTGGGCACTCCCAGGGCCTGACTCCAGCCTGATGGATGCTCAGGATGGAAACAAATGGTCCATGAAAGCCGGTGACCCCTGCAGACTGGAACAAATGCCCAGAGTTGGTGGGGTTTCAGGGGGAACTGATTCTCCCTGGGGCCATGGAGAGTGAGAAGAGGCAGGGGGCCTCCAGGGCTGGGGACGCGGGGAGGAGGCTGACTCCGCGCTCGGGACACTCTGTCTTCCAAAGGGTGTCCTTAAAGCCAGTTCCAGGAACTGGCCCGCGGGAGAAGAGGAGTTCGACTTCCAAATTCCTGATGCAATATGAACAGAGGAGCCGGGGCAATTAATTTATTATCAGACAGACGCAACAAGCAGGACATGTCTGCTTGAAAAACCCCCTTAACGTAGAAAAGTCAGAAGATAACACACATTAGAGTCCAAGTTCTGCGAGGGGAGTGTGCTGGGGCCTGGCTGTCTCGGCCCCGTTTCCAGGTGTATGCGCAGGGTTAAATCCGAGGCTCTCGTCCAAAACCTGTTTCCTGACAGTAATGACCTTCCTTCCTACGGCTTTCCCAGTGCTCCGAGGCCACCCTTGGTATTTCCACGCGTCTGTTTCAAGAGCGAGAGCTCTGCAGCCAGCTCAGAAAACGTGGAGTTTCCTGGCCTCTCCACTCTCCCGGCAAGCAAGCGACAAAGCAACCGGCCTGGCGAGAGGCCCAGCTCCCCGCTCAGGCCAGGGAGCGGCCCCCAGGGCGCTGGGTGGTGGAGCCAGCGTCTGCAGCACAGACCTGCTGGGGTGGGGGCACTCAGACCCCAGGGCACATACGGAGGGCTGGCCCTTGGGCTCTGGAGAGGGGATAGGAGAACCCGAAGTGGGTCCCAGCCTGAAGACCTTCAGCAAAGCCTCGTCTTCCAGCACCCACTTAGGAGATGGGCTTCACCCCACCAGTTCTGGCTCTCAGGAGGAGTGGGAGGCAGTGGGGGGAGTAAGCCCAGGTAGTATCAGGTTTGGGGCTACACCTGTGTCCAAAAACAACATCCCCTTATAGCCTGGGTCACCAGCCCGCCCCGTGAAGGGCAGGGTCGAGCACAGAGCAGCTCACAGGCGTCAGCACCTGCCCACCGTGGCCCAAAGGGTGCAGACATGGCTTGTTGCTCGGCCAATGATCCAGCTTCACAGAGGGCCCTTCCAAAATTTGCCACCAAGGCTCACTACACTCAAAATTTGCCACCAAAATGGGGTCTCACCACTCCATCCATCATGGAAATAACTCCAGAATCCTCAGGTTAGAGGACTCCCCTCCCACGGCCCAGCCTCCCAGTGGAGACTGACTAATGGCAAGAACATCAGCATGAGGCCCCCAGACCTGAGTCGGAATCCTACCTCTGCACCGACTTCCTCTCAGTGCTACCTTGACCTCGTTACCTCCTGAGACTCACTCCTCGAAGCCCACAGGGATCTCATCTGCAGCGGCCCCCAGCTTCTGCCTGTTCCAGGCTCTTGAGTGACAGGGAGCTCCCTACCCAACATCACCACCCTCCCATTGGCCAGCAGCTCCGAGTTCAAGGTCCTTCCACGCACAGAGGTAAAGCTGGTTCCCCTGTAAGCACCTCAGCCACACCCACATAGCTGGCTCAAGTTCTGGCTCCTGCAGCCATGCCTACGGCAGTGGCCCATCCCCGTCCTGGAGGAAGGGGTCCAGGGTCAAGTGCCCCTTCTCCGCCATGCACAACACCCCACAACCAAAAGCTCAGTGAGGCAGCCGCCAGACGCTGCGCACCTACCTAGCACGTCAGCAGACTTCTTCCTCTCTACAATCTGGATGTCTCGGGCGCCAGCCGGGATGTGGGTCACCAGAGAGTAACCTGGAGGCAAATGGATGACAGTGAGCCCCTCTGGATTGGAAAGGCACCTTTGGATGGCGCTCGCCCACTCCACAGCTTTTGGAGGGTGAGTGGTGGCTGTCTAAAGGCTAACCCACCCCCCACGCCCACTTGGGTAGCTCAGCTCAGACCCATCCTATTGCAGAGGTTGACCAACCAAGCTGGGCACCTGCCCAGGCTCACCCCTTCCTACCAAGGCCACGGGAGGGCTTGCCCGTGCTTGCCCCAACCTCTCCTAAGGGACAACGAGGGCCACAGCGATGTGGAGCACACTGGGAGTTCAGTCCCACTCTGCCATGTGTCACCTAGGAGACCCTGGGCAGCCGATGGGGCCCCAGCTCCCTGCGTGCGTTATCACTGCCATTTTAAAATCCTGTCTTGTCACAACACCACGTTGACTTTCAAGGCTCGCTACACTCAAAGACGTGGGTGAGAAAGGACAAGGAGAGCTGCAAATAGAATCTCCAACTCTGCCTACGCCCTTCCTAAGCGCCAGGCCCCAGGCTGAGGTCCAGATCGGACAATACCAGCCGGCTCAGAGCCTGTCTTCAAGGCCCCCAGGCCCGTGGGGAGGCAGCCATGCAGTCCTCCCAGCTAGAAAGAAACCAAGGGTCTGGAGGGGAAATGTTGAGAGAAGGAGAGGTGTTACTGGCAGGCAGCTGAGAGAGGAGCCTGGGGAGAAGGAGACATTTCAATACGCCCCAGGACAGGAAAGAAGGGGCTCTCCAGGTCGGACGTTTCCTGGGGTTTGATGCTTGTTTCACCTGATTCCTCCAGGAGTGGAGGACTCCACGTGGGCCTCCCTGCCGGGGTTAGTGTCTCCCGCAGGCCAGCACCCGCCTGCCATTCCTCCCCCAACACCATCACACCTACAGGTCTCCGGAGATCCTGACCTGTCCCTCACGGACAGCAGTGCTCTGAAAAATGTTTAACAGTAGGCTCTTTGGAGACATGGGGAAACAGGAGCTGTGACTTGTAGCACTGGCCAGTTTCCGCGGTGTAAACACCCCTGCTGTGGCCAGTTTCACGCTACTTTAACTGGGCAGCTTAACTTCAAAATTCATTTTAAAACATTTTTTTTTTCCTTCTTTGGGTTTCAACACATAAACTTGAAGCAAGCGACTGAAGCTATGTTTGTTTACACCATCAACATGATGTCACTGGGCGTGGCATTGGGAAGAGAGGCTGCAGCACACCCGTATATGGTGTTTTTGCCACACAGATAAAATAGTTACACACTTTGGGAGGCTGAGGCGGGTGGATCACCTGAGGTCAGGAGTTCGAGACCAGCCTGGCCAACATGGTGAAACACTGTCTCTACTAAAAATGCAAAAAAAAAAAAAAAAAAAAAAATTAGCCGAGCATGATGGTGGGAGCCTGTAATCCCCGCTACTTGGGAGGCTGAGGCAGGAGAATCGCTGGAACCCAGAAGGCAGAGGTTGCAGAAAGCCGAGATCACATCATTGCATTCCAGCCTGGGCAACAAGAACAAAACTCCGTCTTAAAAAAAAAAATTAGTTATAGACGTCAAAGGATTAGAAAGTGGTGACTTTGTTTTAAATATAATGTAGTTAAATATAGGCTGTTGTACTTTAATTTTCAAATTAGCAAGATAAGCTCACAAGATTCTTGAGCATTTAATACCCCAGCCCATCCCACGGCCCCCAGCATGGTTACCAAGCACAGCTTGCCCGGGGAAGGCATATGGCTCAGCTGGGAGGATCACAGGCCAGGAGCAGGCTGCCTGGGTTCAGGCCCGGTTCTGCCTCTTGTGGCTGTGTGACCTTGGATGAGTTATTTAGCCTCTCTTTGCCTGTTTCTGTATATTTCAGCAACAGTCATGTGGCAGCCTTGCAGAGCTGTTGCCAGGCATGAATGAGTTACCTTGTGAGCATGCAGAATGAGGAACGTTGTTTGCACATCAGTCCCTGGGCCCCAGGCTGAGTTCCACGAGAATGTGAGCCCTATCTCTCAGGTCTCACTGTGCACAGTGCCTGGCACACACTAGATGCCCTATAAGACACACGCTGCCCCAGTGCCCACTCTCCCTCTGCATGCCCTGGGTCCAGCAGGAGGCCGTGTAAGCAGGTTTGTGGGAGGAAGGGAGGAAAATCAAACACCTTAGCGCCTCCTATAGCGAGGCCACCAAAGAAATGTCCTGTGCCCCCCTCATCCTGCTGGACACCCAGCCCGCATTACTCACACCTCTGCCTGGTGGCTCTGCCCCAACCCTGTCCCTTGTCAGTCCGGCATGCCCGTCCCTAGGTCCCATGTCCAAGCCCCATGCTCTCCAGTGCTCTCCCACTGGCACCTCCTGGAGCTGACACTCATGCCACGGTTAGCCCTCAGTGGCAGGCGAAGGTCATTCTCTCAACCTGTAAAACACGGCCGGGTCCTCCTTGGCCCTAACAGGCCTGGTTCTAATCGAGACTTGACTGGTCTCACTGGGACCTTGATAGATTATTCCCACTCTGGGCCTCGGTTTCCCTGTCTACTAAGTGGGTCTGAAGCTGCCCTGCCTTCACCAGTCTGGAGGTTGCAATAACCCAGTTCCATTCCTCAAGCTTTTCTCCAGACCCAAAAGTGTGTTCAATCTAATGCCAGGCATTACAAGTGACATCCCTCCAAAAGTAGAAAGTGCTGTCCCATGCACAGACACCCACGACCCCCACGAGGGTTGGGACAGAGCTAGACACAAACATCGGGCTGAATGCCCGTAGCTTAGGAAGGGGACAGGTGCTGCCCAAGGGAAGGAGGGGGTCTGGGCTGGGTCAGCCTGGAGCTGACAGGGAGCCTCTGAAACTCAGGCCCCAGAATCCAGTGTGCCAGAGTCAAATCTCATATCTGCAGAGAAAATGTGTCTCAGGCCTCAGTTTCTCCCTTTTTAAAGTGTGGTGTTAGCCGGGTATGGTGGCTCATGCCTATACCCCAACACTTTGGGAGACGGAGGTGGGTGGATCACTTGACGTCAGGAGTTCAAGACCAGCCTGGCCAACAGGGTGAAACCCCGTCTCCACTAAAAATACAAAAATCAGCCAGGTGTGGTGGCACGTGCCTGTAGTCCCAGCTACTTGGGAGGCTGAGGAACGAGAATCGCTCGAACCTGGGAGGCAGAGGTAGAGGCTGCAGTGAGCCCAGATCGAGCCACGGCACTCCAGCCTGGGCAACAGAGCAAGACTCTGTCTGAAAAAATATAAACTAAAAATAAAAAGAAAGTGCGTCGTTAACACCTCCCTACAGGCTGTCTCAAAGGGCAAATATGACCCCCAAGCCAAGTGTCCACTGGTACCCAGTAGGTCCTCAACAAAGGGTTGCCCATTTTTACAAACCAACAGAGGCCTACAATCACCAGGCCAGTTCGCCTGGGCCTGGATGCAGAATCCGGTGCCTCTAGAGGGGAAAGACTTGCCCAGTGGTACCCAGGAGGCTGCAGACAGAAGCGCACTCAGGACCCCCGATTTCCAGACTCAGCTCTGCTTGGACTTCAGGGCACGCTGCTGCCTTACCGAGGTGGGTGTTCCCTTTGCGATAGTTGCCCGTCACGTGGGTGCAGCTGCTACCGTCCCCCTGGCAGACGCCGCACTTGTCCAGTGTGTGGGTGGAGAAAAGCACCCCGTCACAGCCGATGGGCTGCAGGAAGGGAGAGGGAGAGGGCTGCTGGGAGGGCGCTGTGGCCAGGCCTCGGGGCCGCCACTGCCTCCCACAGGCGGGCAGGCAGTCAGCACAGTGAGACCGGCGGTACTTTTGCTACAACGTTTAACAACCTCACATTTTCCAGACACGCAAACCCCTCGCAGGTCGGTGAGCTTGCAGGACGTGCCGTCGCGGGCGGGCACCATGAGCTGCCGCTGGCCGTCCACGGTGGTGCAGTGCAGGTCACACGGTTTGCTGGAGATGTGGACATAGTCATCTGGTGGAGGGAGACAAAGACAGAAGGTCTCAGCGGGACAGGAAATGCCGGATTCAGGGGACTTCCCTTTTCCTCCCTCTGAGACAGCTTTCATTGCATAGATGGGGAAACTCAGGCCTGGAGAACAGAAGGGACCTGTCCAGGTCTCAGTGGCAGAAACTGATGGGTTGTCCGGCTCAGCCCACACCCCGTGAGATCCGGCTTCTACCTCCTTGTGAGTAGGGAGCGGCGCCTGAGACCCACACTGGGGTTCCCCCTCTGCAGGAGGTCTGAGCCAACTCGACACCCCTGTGCTGCTGGCCCTGGGCACCCCAGCCCTGGCCCTCGCGGGTGAACAGGAGAAGGATGAAGCATTTAAGCTGTTGCCTGAACTACTTGCTTTCCATGGGACCGCATGGGCGGTCTCCATTTGGGATCCTCTCGGCTGGTTCCTGACTGTGCCCAGGAGCCAGTCAGTGGGAGAGTCACTATTGCCCTCAGAGGTCAGGCCTGCAGGGAACTCAGCCCTGTAATCTGTCCTGCGTTGATGTCATGGGTGATGGGGGAGGGGACAGACCCCTGGGCCAGGGCTCAGGAGACCCAAGTTCATTCCTGACTCCTTGTCTGACCACCTCCATTTCCCCACCTGCCCACCCGTCGAGTTTGGTCCCAGGTGCCAGAAGGGCCACCCCCAAAGCTCGGTCAGCTCCCTGCAAGGTGGGTCCCCAGGGTGGCAGGTACCCGGGTACAGAGGCTTCCACTGGTGCGTCCGCCCGTTGTACACGTGGGAGTTGAAGGAGACGCACTGCTCCTCGCGGAAGCTCCTCCCGTCCGGCGGACACTCCTGGGAAGTGAGGGGACAGGGAGGCTCCAGGAGGAACTCGGCCCGACAAAGGCATTTTTGTCCAGGCTAAGCAGGAAGTGGCTGCAGCCGGGACAGCCGTGCGGGGGCCACGGCCCATGGGGTGGCCTCTCGGGCTCCTGCGCGCTCCCACGAACTCTCCGGAGGGAGCAAGGACGCAGGCAAGGGCAGCTCCGCCCTCCACGCCAGCCCTCCGCCTGCTCTAGACGCAACCCTCCCATTCCCCACCACGCCTTCTCCCAGTCTTGTGGTGGAGGGGACATGACCCTACTACGGCTGGCAAGGATGTTCCCCTTGCCCCCGTCCTCAGCAGGCCCGGACTGTGTGTCCACGGCGCCGGAACAGGACCTGGCACATGGTCTGTGGCCACACGCACCGCCTGAATCAGGAAGATCGTGGTCCGGACTCCATAAAGAGGAACCCAGCTTGCAGACAGGAGACTCGTCCTCGGGGGGACCCAGCTTAGTCGTGCTGGGGCCAGAGCTCAAACCTGGGTCCCTCTCGTGCTGGAGCTCATAAATGCCCTTCCCCCAACCCCTGGTTGCACCATCCTAGGAGGGCAGCTGACCAGGTGACACCAACACAGAAGCTGTGGCTACCTGCCTCCGTCCAGCCCCTCACTCCCTGCACGGGAGCACACGCCCCCTGAGACACACAGACACAGAGACCTCCAGCCGCTCCACCTTCCCTGACCAGGCAAGCCACATGAGCCACTCTGGGAGGCCCAGACCCCAGCTCGACATGACCCAGCCCCACGCCCGGCGGTCCTTGGAAAGGTGTTCAGGTTCCAACTGCCCCAGGCCCCACTGGGAGCTGCCTGGTCAGAGTCAACACCTCCTCTCCAGCCTCGGCTACCCAAGGAAGCTGATGGAGGCTGGAGCAGAAGGCATCTGAGAACAGCCCAGGGAACTGTTTTATGGGGTGGGGGGTACTGTCTCATGGGACGGGGAAGCCTGCCAACTGCTGGGTCTCTGTGAGCACCAGGTGCACGAATGTTGTGAGTAAAGTGGAGCTGTGACCAGAGGCCCCAAACCTTGAGGCTGCACTTGAAGCTCCAGGAGCACAGTGAGTCCGCCCGTCCCAGCATCGCTGAGCACTTGTGGGCACACAGACAATGGTCTGGACAGTGGATGGCTCCGTCCTAGCCCAGGGCCCCCCGCAGCCTTCTCTTCAACCCTGCTCCTGGGCTCTCCTTGAAGTGCAGGCCCAGAACAGAATGCCCAGGAGGCCCAGGAGCCACCTGGAAGACCCCCTGAAAACTGCATGATGACGGGGAGAGCAGGCCATGGTGCCCCTGCCCGGGCCGGGCCTCACCTGCACTCTGCAGAGCTGGTACCGCTTAGACGTGCCCGTGCAGGTCCTGTTCCTGGGGCCTGGGGCGGACTTCCTCCTGGCAGAAAGATGCAGGCTCGGAGTGAGAGCTGCAGAGGAGTTTCAGGAATGTCGCCTGGGCTGGCCCCACGGCCACTGGGGTCCAGAATCTCCCCTGATTCCCATGACCCAGAGGGCTCCCTTCCTCTCTACTCAGCTCCCACCCCGTACACACACCAGAGCCGAGGGAGAATGAGATTTGATTCACTTCTACGTCAGCAGCACATAGCACACGGGCTCAGTACACAGAACTGAAACAACCACGTGAGTTGCGTGCCAGGCCTGTGCCCAGGTGCACACACACGTGTGTTCTCAGAAGCATGAGGTGGGACCAGCACGCTCTCCATGCCATGGATGAGAAAACTGATGCCCAGAGAGGTTAAGTGACTTGCCCAAGGTCACACAGCAAGGGAGTAGCACAGGTCAGATAGGAGCCGGGTCCATCTGCCAAGTGGAGGCTTTCACTGCCAGTCCTCTGCTTCTCCCGAGGCTCCCTGGCATTCTCTAAAGACCCTCACTCAGGTCTTCAGAAGAGAAGGCAGGGTGGTTCTCCGCCTCCAGGACAGACCTCTAGAAATGGCTCCTGCCCTCTCATGAAAGGGCTTCCCTGGTGCCCTGAAGCATGAAGGACCCCAGCGCACCAGTGCCAGGGCCCATCCATAGCTGCATTCAGCAGAGGCTGATGGCGGACTCAGCCTGTGCTGCCCCCAACCCGAGAACCCTCCCAGGGGGAGGAGCCACCAGGCTGAAGGGCCAACTGCCCTCTCCTGCCCGCTGCCCTGCCCTCATGCCAGCCCTCAGGGCCATGTGCCCCACCTCGCACCTCTGCTTCAGGCAGTGCCGCTCCTGGGATGTCACCCCACCTCCGCAACTGCGGGAGCACGCCGTCCACTTGGTCCACTCCCCCCACCAGAAGGCCGTGGCATCGGTGTCCCCCTCCAGGCTATTGGACGTCGGGCTATTGTCCTGGATGAGAGGGACCCCCAGACGGTAGAGGGCTCGAGTGCCCAGCAGGACCAGCCTGTCCCCACCCCATGCCCGAGGGCATCACCATCAGCGGGACTAGAGGACACAGCCCCCTGGCTGGACCCCCCTGCAGGGTCACTCGGCAGCTTGGGTTCAGATCTCCTGGGTGGCATTGAGGGGAACCCCCAAGGAACTGTAGACCACAGGTCAAAGAGGGCCTCTTTGACCTTAAGGTCTGGGATGGCCTGGGGGCTTGGCAAGCTCCTGGGGCTGCACCTAACTGTCCTCACTTTTCCTGGAGCAGCTCAGGGCCCCTCTGCGTTCTGCAGGACACAGCCCACCCTGGCCATGCTGGGGCCTTCACTTGGAAGGGAAGTACTCAGCCCCCCCAGCCCTCTCCTGCCCAAGTCACCAGGGGCCCCACAGTAGCCAGGGGCCCTGTTCAGAGAAAGATCTGACTGGCTCTGGGAAGAAGTTTCTAGGAGCCAAGAGGGGTTCTGGGACCTGGGGCATGTGCCCACACAGCCCCCTCCAAGCCAGTCCATCTGGGAGCGATCACAGCACTTGGGGAGGGGACTGGCATGGGCCCTCAGACCACAACACCACACTCACCGTGGACCCGGTTGACACTGTGTCCCCAGCCACAACTGCCAGAACCAGCAGGGACCAGGTCCAGCAGGAACATTGCCATCTGCCGTCCATCCTAGGAAGCAAGGCCACTGTCACCACCAGGCAAACTCCGCTCCTCTTCCAGACGAGCAGGGTACGCTTTGGGAAGAGCCCTCAGGGCACAGCCAGTGCCTAGGCCTCAAGGTTATCTGGGACTAGTTGGTTGTGGTTGCCTGGCAGACCCTGTTGGGAAGGATGAACCCGCCGCCCCAGTCTAGGCTTAGCAAGAAGGAGCTTGGAGAATGATTAGTAATGCCTGCTGCAGGCAAGACACCCAGCGGTGGTGTGCGTGCTAAGCCTGCGCCACCCTTGATCCAAGGGCATGTAGGGAAGCATGCCACGCTTTGCCTCCAAGTCCTCAAGCACCCTAGAGAAGTGCTGTGGAGACAGACAGCCTCGGCTGAGGGGTCTGGGGACCCAGGAGAGGGGAAAGGCTGTGGCTCAAAGGGATGGGCCTGGGCTCAGTCCAGCCCCTTGGCAGGAGCACCTTGGGATTTTGACTGGCTCAGCTCTTGCTGGCCTCGTAGGAGAATGGCCTCTGCTACTGGCTGCTGAGGGTCAGTGCATGGGGATGGGCTTGGCCAGGTCCCAGGGGAACATGCAGCCTCGCCCTAGACGAGCAGCTCCACAGTCAGCATCCAGCAACAGACGGCACTCAGGTGAGGCAGAACCCAGGTACCTATGCCGCCTCCCCATCCCCGGAGACATGGAATTGGGAGAGGGGCGGGGCAGGAGGAGGTATAGTTTGTGCCAGCGTATCAGCAGTCCAGGGCCACACGGCTGACCTCCTCCCAGCAGCCAGCACCCTGGATCAAAACACCTGCCAGAGGTCAAAGCAAGCCCACTGGAAGGGAGTGTCCAGCCTCTGGGCCCTCAGCCCTCCCCACCCCCTCCTCAGCACTGACCCTGCCCTGTGGAAGGGAAGAACAGAGATCCGCCATGGCCTCTGTCCAGGCCTTGCTCAGGTGCTGAGTGTCACTTGCCAACAAGTTAGAGAAGGGATTTCAGAAACCACGCAGCCTGCACTCATAACCTGGAGCCCAGAGACAGGAGCCAACTTGCTCAAAGCCACACAGCAAGGCCGGGCACTAGCAAACCCAGGGACTCAACCCCCATGCCTGGCCAATTCCAGGGGCAGAAAGCATGGAGGTCATTCCTCACCCCTGCCAGTCCAGAGGCCATCTCTGGCTCTGCCCCTCCCTCCTCAGCAGCCTCCATCCAACTTGAAGAGTTTCCTTGCAGGCCGGACACCTGCAGATTTTCAGGGACTACTCCAAGGACACCGCTGCAGCCCGGAGGATGCGGCAGTGCACCCTGGAGTGGGGAGCCTGAGTCCTTGACCTCCTCTGCCCCCGCCGCCTGCCCCCCACCTCCCTCCCCTGCAGACCTCCACCTGTACTCCCAGCCTCACACCCACAGGAGCCCCCTCCACTGTGCCATTGGCTAACGGGTGCCCCAGCCTCTGCCTGCCGGCTGAAGACAGGTGCCAGCCGGCCTCACACTTGCTTTTCATTAAGGCTTCCAGACACCGCTGGCTTCTGGCCAGGCCTCGCTCACAGGGATCCCTCCCTCCCTGGGGTCCAAAAGCAGCGGCTGGCGGCAGCAGATAGGTCTGCCTTGCACACAGAGCTTCGGGCGCACAAGGCTAGGTGCTGAGAGGCCACCCTGCCCCGTGCTCTGCGGCCCGACCCCTCCCCACAAGCCTCCCCACGTTATGTAACGGCTCCAGAGGGCGCGGGGTGGTCCTACCCCCAAACCCACTCTGAGCAGTGGGCTGGCCTGGTGGACGCTGCAACGTGAGGGGGACTGGGACGAGGTGGCCTACCTGGCTTCGGGTCAGCAGGTTGTCCTCCCAGAGAAAGGGGCGAGCGCTGCGGAGGGCAGACGGCGCCAGGTGCGCTGTGCGTGCGGGGGCGGCGTGAGTGCAGAGGCTGCGGCCCGGCCTCCCTCTCCCCTTCCCCTCCTCCCCCGCGCCGCCTCCCTCTCCCACTTCAAAGAGCATCCAAGAGAGGGGGTTCCCGGGAGGGGCGCAGCCCAGTGGCGGCTCTGCGCCGGCGGCCGCCTTTATAGCTGTCAGGCAGACGGGGAGGAACTCACACTTCCCACCAGGCCGCTCCCCCGCCCGCGCCGGCCGGCCTGGCGCACACTTTAACCCGCTCTGCGCCTCTGGAGCCCGGCCAGACCGGCCCAGCTGCCTGTTGGCTGCTGCCGGCGGCGGCGGCCCAGGAGCGGCGAGCAGGGAGGCCTTCTTCCCGGGTCTAGAACTGAGGACCACATGTCGGGTGTCCAGACGGAGCAGCCGCTGGCCGGAGGTTACCGGGGAGGCTGGCAATGGCAAAGCCCCAGCCCCGCCTGTCCGACTTCTGCCTCCAGAGCGGGCCCTGTCCCTGGGGCTCCTGAGAATGGGGTCTGGGATGTATGAGGCGTCCCGTCTGACCGCTCCGTTGTACGGAGGGAAAAGCTGAACTTCCGGGACGACCATGCCCCGGGTCACCAGCCTCAGAAAGCTCCTGAGATGCAGGGGCCTAAGCAGGTGGAGGGACCAAGGGAGAGACCCAGCAAAAGTGAACCAAGGGCTCCAGGGAGGAGACAGATGTGCCCATGGCCTGCTGACCAGATGGCTAGAGCAGCCAGGGCCAGGGCAGAGAGGCGCAGGGATTCTGCAGATGTCCGGCACCAACTTGGCAGCCCCTGGCAGGCCAGGCCTGGAGCTCCAGCCCCTGTTCCGGCTGAGCCAGGGCACAGAGCAGAGCCAGAGTGGGTGGAGCGGTAGAACCCCCCTGGGAAACCCCAGGCAGGCCCCAGACTTTGTGAGGCTTTCCTAAAGCAAGGCTGGGCACCTAGCCTCTGCACACCAGCTTCCCTAGAGCCCATCATCGGCAAACAGAGGCACCTCCAAAACGAGGAGGAGGAGGAAGCTGGGGCACCGTTCCATCAGGTCATCTGTGTTTTTTCATCCATGCCCCTGCCTCCATGCAGCGGATGTCCTGGGCCCACAGCGGTGCCTGGAAGGCCCTTCTCCTTCCCTCTGTCCTCCCTGCTGGAATAACCTTGTGAGTTCCTTCAGCTGCCTTCTTGAGGAAGTTCTGCCCTGTGTCTGACCAGCCACCAGAAAGGCTGGGAAGGAAAGCCACCAGTAATGTAGTGAAAGCGATAATACCCTCTGCCCTCTGTCCGGCTTGTCCTACGGGCCCAGAGCTGTGAGCATCCACCTTTATGATCTGCATTTCACAGGTGGAGGAACTGAGGTTCGGGGGCCGAGTCACCTCTCCAGCAGGCAAGGCTGGGATGCCAGTGCTCCTGGGAGTCGGGTCCCATCTTCTGCTGGGTTCTTTAAGTTCATCTCCCCGGGACCCTCGGCCAGGCAGGTCTTACTCATCTTGTTCCCCCTCTGGGGCCACTGGGGTACATGGTGGCTGCTCCTAGTCACAGAACCAGGACTAACCCTAACCCTAACCCAGGCCCACACTGCCCCCTGGGGTCGCTATGCTGAAGCACAGACATGGTGGCACCTGTCACCCAGCACACACACACACACAGGCACACACACACACACAGTCCCTCTCACATGACCGGATCGCACTCACTCTGGGAGCCTCTACCATCCCGTTCCTCTCTCTTCTGGTGACCGCCAGGCCTTGCACCCTTTGGCACAGTCCCTGAGCTCTGCTGGCGTTTGTGGCCTCACATCCAGCCAGCGCCAGGGTGACTAATGGTTTCCCTTGGGAGGCACCCCACAGCCTACCAACACAAACACTCCCAGTGTCTTCTCTTGGCTCAGCAAGACGGCACAGGCTGCAGGCTGGCCACCTGGGAGACGGGTCTGTGGGGCCAGCCATCCCCTGGCTCTGTGACCTACTGCAGGCGTGTGACCCTCCAGGCCCCAGCTCCCCTGGCCAGCCACGCTTCCACACCGCCCCCACCCCTTACCCCAGAGCCCCCAGACTTGAGGCCCGGAGGGAGCCATAACTGTCACGTAGCAGGTGCTGTGGCAGCTCCTGATGCCAGGGACTCCTTGCCCCTTAGGGAGTGTTGTTGAGGTGAGTCCTCCACTCTCCAGGCTCCCTCTTCGGCCTGCAAATTCCTGGCCTCCCATGGCCTCCCTCTTGTAGGATGGTGTCAGCACACACCCACCGGCGCTTGCAGGGCTGTTGCAGCCCTGTGGCCCTGGTGCTGGAGACACCACCTGCCTTTAGAAGGGGATTGCTGGCCAGGCGTAGTGGCTCATGCCTGTAATCCCAGCACTTTGGAAGGCTGAGGAAGGTGGATAACTTGAGGTCAGGAGTTCGAGACCAGCCTGGCCAACATGGTGAAACCCCGTCTCTACTAAAAATACAAACATTAGCTGGGTGTGGTGGTGGGCACCTGTAATCCTAGCTACTCAGAAGGCTGAGGCAGGATAATCGCTTGAACCTGGGAGGCAGAGGTTGCAGTGAGCCGAGATCTCGCCGCTGCACTCCAGCCTGGGCGAAAGAGTGAGACTCCAGCTCAAAAAGAAAAAAAAAAGAAGGGGATTGTCTCCACTTGTGTTTTCCAGATATCTGAGGAGCTTAGAAACAGGACAGCAGGAATATGTGGAGGGGATGCCCGGGAGGGTGGGGTTCGAGGAAAAACAAGGCGGGGATGGAGAAGCAGGCTTGGGGCAGAGGGGCCGGTGAGCCGTGGTCGACCACTTTGGAGGTTCCCTGGGATGATGTTAGGCGGCCGCAGTGGGAGCAGGGCCTGTCCTCACAGCAAAGTGGCCACGGCAGGTTCAGGAGTTTAAGGACGTGGCCCAAGCTGTGGGAGGTGGGTCCCCTCTCTGGCACCCAGAGGCCTAGCAGGCCTAGCAAATTTATGTGTATAGTGTGGTTCACCTGACTGATAGGGCTGGCCGGCCACGGCCTTGAGAGAGGCCCACCAATACCAGCTTCCCTGGTATCCTGCGGTTCTTCTCTGTTGCCAGCCCGGGACCCAGAACATCCTAGGAGCCTCCTGGGCAGACCCTGCCAGAGTTCTCACACCCAACTGGGACGGGGCCACCAAGGGACCATGTGGCCAGCTGGGAGGTGGCTGGCAGGCCAGGAAGAGGACCAGGACTCAGAAGGCAGCCCCAGGGGAAGAGTGAGGGGCCCTCGGCAACCCCAAGGGCCATCCTTCTCCCCGAGCTTCCTTCCTGGCCCAGGATAGAAGCCAGCTGTCCCTGAGGCCCCCCGGGGCTGGACATACGGGAAGAGCCTCCCCCGCCTTCCCTGGCTAGTCCCAGGTCCATGCACGACCACTGACTGGCCAGGTCACTTCGGGCCACTTTTCCCTGACAGGCCTGGTTTCCTGGTCTGTTGCACAAGGTCAAGGTCCTTTTTTAGCCCCAGACATCTTACAGGCACACTCAAGAGACAAGTGAGACAAAAGCAGAGGAGAGGGCTCCTGCCTCCCCTCTTCTCCTCAGCAGCCCTGAGGCCCCTTCTGGGCACCAGGACTCCTGGAGGCGTCACCTGAAAGCTGGTCAACTGGAAGAACCCCAGCCCCCGGCAGCCCCTCGGGGGCTCTGCTCGCACGCGGCCATGACCTCCAGAGATGCCCCATGTCAGGGACATCTGCTGGGGACAGGAGGACGTCACCCAGCCAGTGAACTCTTTCTCCCATGCCACCCACAGTGACCAGGGGTGGGCAGCCACTGGTGTCACAGCTGGGGGAAGCAGGAAACCCAGGACCTTGGATCCCGACACTGAGAAGGGCCCTGTCTTAGAGGCTCAGCATGCAGGCTCAGCATAGGAAGCAGCAGCTCTTCCGATAGCACGGCAACGGCGGCGTCACGTGGGAGTGCCTGGAGCCGGACTCCTTCGGTTCAAATCCTGACTCTGTCTCTCCCCAGCTGGGTGACTTTGGGTGAGGGCAGACACTTCTCTGTGCCTCCGCTTCCTCACCTGTGAAGTGGTGGTGAGAAGGCACTCCCTATGCTGGACTCTCGTGAGGCTGAAGTGAGTCCATACGGGAGAAGGGCCTGGGATGGTGGTGGAGAAGGGAAGGGCTCTGCACGTGCTTTGCTCTGAGCCCAACAGGTAGCCCAGGGCCTGTGTCTACTCTGCTGTCATACTCCATCCTGACAATGCCACATCAGGTAACACTGTCACGCCCAGGCAAAGAAGGAAGCTGAGGCCAAGGCTTGGACCCCGCCTGTCTGAGGCCAGAGTGGACTTTCTCAGCCTGGTCCATCTCAGCCTGGCCACCTTTCTCAGATGGTCTCTTGAGTGTGCCTGTGAGATGTCTGGGGCTAGGATGGGGTGCCTGTCATTGGTCCAGGATGGGATGCACCTGGGTCCCAGGAGAGCCCAGAACACCAGGATGTGCTCAGCCTGCCCACCAGGACCAGCAGCGGGACCCTCCCCAATAGCCCCCACTGCTGTTCCTGTAGCCCAGAGCCTTGTGAGCCCTGACTCAGCTTCTCCTTTCCCTGCAAGGGGCAAGAGAGCCAAACCCAGGGATGTAGTGCCCAGGAGGGGCAAGTTTCCATGTAGAGAGGCAAGCTGGGGCAGACAACAGGCTGGGACCAACAGAGATGCAGGGCCTGCAAAGAGGGCAGGAGCAGCCTTTGGTTCACTGAGAGGTGCGGGTCTGGGCTGGCCTGCTCTCTGTCCTCCCAGCACACACACAGGGCTCCGATTCCCCTCTGGGAGTGCTCCCTGCCAACGTCAACCCTGCCGTGGCTCAGCCCACAGGTGGTGAATGGGCAACCCTGGGTGGTACCCCAATCCCCCCAATCAGAGCCTGCCCTGAGGAGGTGACTGCAGTCCCCGGGGTAACCAGCTGGTGCCAGACCACAGAACTTTGTTTCTCCTCCTCCTCTTCCTCCCCCTGAGGAGGCGTTTTCTGTTAGGCCAATGCTGAAAGCTCGAGTTGGGAGAGCTCAGGCCTGTGGCTAGCAGAGATTGCTTAGGCCATTCCTGGTCTGAGACTCCAGGAGAAAGAGGCTCCTCTGTCTCCAGATCTGGAGCAGATAGGGACCTGAGCAGCCCTGGTGTGGCCTTGGGCTGGAGTCGGGCAGAGCCCTGCTGTCTGGGAGACAGCTCTGGGAGGAACCACAGCAAAGGTGAAAGGCTTCCCAGCAAGCCTGCAGAAGAGTCTCCTGTCCGCAAGGGCTCCCCGACAGTATCCCCACCAGCTGCAACCCTGCCACAAGTCCCGTCCCCAAGGGCAGGCTGGGTCCCAGGAGCTGAATTTTCGGGTCCCCAGAAGAAACTGTGTGCTGGGGCTGCTGCTGACCCAGGTGTGGCTGTGCCCTCTCAGTCACACTCAGTGAGTGGCATTTGCCAGGCACCATCCCACAGCCCTGCAGAGGGGAGCAGGTAACAGATGTGCAGTTTGGGCAAGCCCAGGTTCAAGCCCCAACCCCTCTCCCAGCTCCTGGGTCTCTGTAAATGGAAGATGGGTCTCCCCGCTTCAGAGGGTAAGGAGTCCCTGGTTCACACAACAGACATTAGCCCTTGCCAGAGGCCGGGCTGGCAGCTGAGCTGTTCACATCTGTGCATTCTTCAGCCCCTGCAGCAACCCTGAAAGGCAGGCATCCCTCAAGCTCCATTCTGCAGACGAGGACACTGAGGCTCCCAGGGCCAAGGGCACACAGAGGTCCTAGAGCTAGGATGGGCCGAGCCCCCCACCTGGCTCACTTGGCAGGTGTTCAGAAGCTGGGGGTAGTGTGCTGCTCATCTTCAGCCTGCAGCTGAGGACGATGTTGGATTGCTCATCGCAGCCCTGGCCGAAGAGGCACACGCAGAGCCATGTCCTGCGCGGGGGAGGACCCTGAGTGGCAGTCCAGGCAGGCATGGGGACCCCGAGGAGCAGGCAGAAGGCAGCAAAGCCTGTGCTCCTCCCAACAATTGTGGGGGAGCCTCCGTGGGCCCCACGGAGAGCCCAGGCACAAGGATTGCTGTGCGCTGGGGTGACCTAGTGCTGTAGGTCAGGTGTTCAAAATGTAGAGGACGCAAATGCAGCTGCCAGCCAGTCCTCCTGGGCCGGGCAGACAGACAGCTGTTGGGAGGCGGGAGCTGCCTGACATTCCAGGCATTTCAGGGCCTCTATAAAGCAGGGGCGCTCCTGCGGCTGTGGGGGCTAGGGAAGGGGAGTGCGGGGCAGCCCCACTCACCAGCGTGGCACAGGACCAGCCCGTTGGAGCCCACTGGGGCCTGCCATCTGCTGGGCAGAGGAGGGCTGCTGCTGCTCCCTGGGCCTCAGTCTCCTCCTCTGTAAAATGGGGAGAACAGAGGCCTCCACCCCACCTCCCGGCTGCTGGAAGGGCCCAACGAGAAAGGTATGAAGAGTCCTTGGTACATGGCCAGCGCCAACCAACCATCTGTCCATGGACATGATTGGTTTTCAAGACACATTCAGTGCCATGGGGGTTCTGAGCACAGAGAGCCCACACCCCTCTGGGGGGTCAGGAGAAGCTGAGGCTACACAGGGAACCAGGGGAGGGTCTCCTGGCAGAAGGCCATGCAGAGGCCCAGAGCCTGGAGGGCATGTGGCTGTGGGGATCTGGTTTGGCTGAAGTCTGGAGCAGGTGAAGCATGGGGTGGATGCCAGGGACTCCTGAATGGTGGGCTGGCAGGCAGGGGCCATGGGAGGTTTCGGGGTGGGAAGGACCAGGGATGCCAGCTCATGTCTGTGCTAGCTCAGAGCCTGTCCAGGTCGAGCAGCTCCTGGCCTGGCCCAATCCTGCGCCCCCCACCCTGTGTCTCCTGGGGCGGCGACACCCCCCACAGCAGCCGGTCTGGCTTTTCCACTCTGCCTTCCCCTCTCCCAGCTCCCCAGGCCAATCGCTTCCCCTGCTCCAGGGAGAACCGAGGGTCATTTCAGTCCTGTTCAGAGCTGGACGCCTTCCCCAGAGCCAGCTGGTCTGCGTCCAGGCGGCCAGGGCTCGGACGGGAGCCACACACAGCCCGCCCCCCCTTCACCTCCGTTCTGCACTCCACCACCTCCCTCAGAGGGCAGCTCACGTTCCAGCCTTTCTGCAGGGGCTCCTCGGGCTGCCCCAGGCCCAGCCACCTGTCTCCCCCCTTTGGGACTGTCCCTCCCGGCCCCCACTCTCCTTAATCGCTGCAACACATGTGTGGCTCCGCTTCCCTCTCCACCTCCTCCCCCTTTGCTTTTTCCCTTCCCCAAGCTTACAGCCCTGGCCCTGGAGTTTACAGCTGCAAAAAAAAAACACACACACACTCATGCACAAAACCAACTGTGGAATGTTTTCCTGCTTTCGAGCGGGGTTTATGGCTCCAGAGGGCTCTCTCCTCCACTGCCTCTCATAGCACCTGACATCGAATTGTATTTCCTCAGCACTCTTTTCCACTCTTACTGAAAGCTGGGCTAGGGGCTGGAGACTAGGGCCCAGTACGAGCCGGAGCAGAGGGGCCGAGAGGTGAGGATCAAGGAGGATCAGGGCCCCCGCCGTGATAGGCCCACAGGGGATCGTGCGCCTCCTACCAGAGCCGCACACACAGCAGGTCTGGTTTTTCCATTTGGAGAGGGAACTGGGCTCCTCAGAGGCCAGACTGAAGTGTGCGGCAGCCCCGCCTCCTTGGACTTTCATTCATTCTTTTAACAAAGTCATTCATTCAGCCAGTGTGCGCTGAACACCACCATGTGCCAGGCTTGGGCGTCGGGGGCGGGGCAGGGAGCCAGCCAGCCAGAACCCTGGGCCCTGGATCCTGCAGTCCACGGGGGCCACAGTCCAGACAACCCAACACCAACATCTCGGCTGAGGTGGCTGGTGCTAGGTCAGGAACGACGTGGCATACAGGGCACTGCGTGGAGCCCCTCAGCTTTCCTTGGGGGCGGTGGGGGGCGGGTGCTGTTCGTCACAGAAGCCTTCCCCACAGACAGGCTGTCTAGGCTGCAGGCAGAGGGAGCAAGGCATTAACCAGAACAGGCGGGGCAGGAAGTGCCTCCCTGCAGGGGAGGTGGGAGGCTGGGAGGAGAGGAGGCAGCGTCTGAGAGTGTGCATGGGGGCTGGGGGGACGGGTCTGGGCCGTAGATGGCCTGGTGGTCTCTGTGAGCACTTGGACTTCACCCTTCGGGCTGTGGGGGCCTCAGAAGAGTCTTAAGCAGGAGAATGAGACATATCAAGTCAGACGTTTCATTGCAAACAGCAGAAATGGGCTCCAGCCAACTTAAGACAAGAGAGATTTCTGGAAAGGTCTGTGGGAGCTCCCACATGGAGGGAAAGGTGGAACAGCCGAGCCTCACAAGGCAGGACTGGCCCAGCAGCCTCTCTTGGAGTGGCCAGTGCTGAGACAGTCCTCGGTCTTGCTGTCCTCAGATTCTAATTTCCAGGAGAACAAAGGTGCGGGAATACTACACTGGACGCCACCCACCAGCAACCAAAGGGACTGGCCACCAGTAGGGCAGGGACAAATTGCATAGACATTACATTGTGAGCAAAAGAAGCCAGATCCAAAAGAGTCCATGGTCTATTTGTAATAGGCAGTCAGGTTACGGGGGCAGAAATCACATCAGTGGCTGCCTCGGCAGGGGGCTCACTGGAAAGGGCTCAGGAGAATATCCTGGGTGGGGAGGATGGACACTGTGGTGGTTACAAAGGTGCATTTTCATCAAACTATACATGTAAAATCTGTGCATTTTGTCCTATGTGAATTACATCACAGTGAAAAAAGAGAATGGAAGTAAAAGCTGTTCTTTTGCGAACAACAAATCAATTAATCCAAGGAAAGAGAGTCTGCCTGGGTAGCTCAGACCACACACACCCATCATTCCTTGGCCAGGGGATAGGGGGCACCCTGCCAGACAGCTCCCCCAAGACCTCTTACAACGAGGGAAGGTAATTTCCAGAAGGCCAGCCAAAGAGCTGTTGTCAATGGAAGACGGAAAAAACACCAAGAGGGCACGCACCGGCCTGGTGCTTGGAACACTGAAAGAGATGGTCCCCGGTTGTTTACTTATAATGTGAAACAGTGTAACCAAGTAGAAAAGAATGTTAGTTTCATTAGTCTAGCCACCGCGGAAACCTGTGTGGGGCAAGAGCTGATGAGTGAGAAGTATATGTGGGCTGGTAAGGTGGGAAATTTATCTACAAGGTCCTTTTAATGATTGGAATTGGCGAAATCTTGGGTTCTCTCACCTCAGGCCACCCATGGACACGTGACCCAAGCAGCAGCATCCACCAGGCTTCTCATTCTGGGGGGGAGGACCAGGATGGAAAATGTCTGGAAGGCAGGGATTGTCCTATTGGGGACTTTTCCCCAAGGTTGTTGCCTCAGATAAAAGAAATGTGGTCTCCTTGAATCCTTGAATTAACTCCTCTGGCCTCAGGAAGGAAGGAAGGAAGGAAGAACGAACGAACGAAAGAATGAACGAACGAACGAAAGAAGGAAGGAAGGAAGGAGAGAGAGAAAGAGAAGGCCAAGTGCAATGGCTCACACCTGCAATCCCAACATTTTGAGAGGCCAAGGTGGGCGGATCACCTGAGGTCAGGAGTTTGAGACCAGCCTGGCCGACGCGGTGAAACCCTGTCTCTACTAAAAATACAAAAATTAGCTGGGTGTGGTGGCGGGCACTTGTCATCCCAGCTACTCCAGAGGCTGAGGCAGGAGAATGGCATGAACCCGGGAGGCGGAGGTTGCAGTGAGCCGAGATCACACCACTGCACTCCAGCCTGGGCCACAGGGCGAGACTCCGTCTCCAAAAAAGAAAAGAGAAAATCAGAGACAAGTGCTGGTCACGTGGCGCGTCAGCTGTCGGCCCTCCCCATGTGTTGCTTGACATGTGCACGTACATCCCCGCCTCCGTCCAGGGCATTTAAACCCTCTCGTGGGCGCTCCCCGCAGCTGCCATCAGAGCCCTGCTCAAAGGGAGCTGGCCTTCCCCCTTCGTGCTCCTGTGCTGGGGACCCAGGGCGCCAGCACCCACCCCGCCCCAGCCAGTGCTTCCCTCCAGGCCTATGGGGACGCTGGTGGCCAAGCTACTCCTGCCCACCCTCAGCAGCCTGGCCTTCCTCCCCACTGTCAGCATCGCGGCCAAGAGGCGGTTCCACATGGAGGCCATGGTCTACCTCTTCACCCTGTTCTTCGTGGCGGTGAGTCTGGGGGCCGGGAGGAAGACCCGCACGTGCCCCATCTTGGAGACAGAGGAGAGGCTGTCTGTCCACAGCGTTCTTGTATTGAGTGATGGGCAGAAGTGATTTGAAAATGAAAGAGCAAGCCCAGGTGGGGTCTGGAGACTGAAGAGAGAGGACTGGGGGAGTCCCTTCCCCTCTCTGGACCTCAGTTTTCCCATCTGTGCCAGGAAGTTGCTCTGGGATCACTGCCTGTGTGAGACCAAGCCCGGGGTGGAGCAGGGCCATTGAGTTGAGAGTGAGCCCTTCCAGGGTGCCCCTTTTCTCAGCTGCTAATCAATGCCCCCACGGCTGCCCATGGGCCACCTCCGCTCCCTACCTCTCTTCCAGCTCTACCCACAGGCCACGATGGAGCAGAGGTGGATGGAGAAAGCCAGGCCTGGGAAAGGGTCTGTGGGGTTTAGGGAGTGTGAAGGCTGGGGTGAGTGAGTCTGATTTCCAGAATCCTGGAGCTGCCCTGGCTCAGGAGGGCCTGCTGGTCTCTCCCTCTTCTGGGGCCTACTTCTCTCTCTGTGGATCCGTCTTTCTCTTTCTATTTATATGTCTGGCTGGCTGACTGTCTCCGCTCTCTCTCTCTCTCTCTCTCTCTGGCTCTCTCCTGCTCTCTGTTTCCTGGTACCTGTCATTGGGTGATTTTATCCGTCTTTCAGTGGAGCACCCGGAACCCCATCTGTCTTTGTTTCTGAGGTCCCTGTTTCTGGGACCCCTGTGTCCCCTGTCTTCTCTCTCTGGGTCTCTTTCAATCTGTGTTTCTCATATTGGTTTTCTATGTCTAGTTTTCTCTGTTTCTCTTTTTTTCCTTTCTCTGTCTGTCTGGTTCTCTTTTGATTTGTGGAACTCGATTCCCATGGAATTCACTCTCTCTCAAGCTCTTGATCCCACCCTCACTGGTTGTAGTCCCCTGACTCTCCGTGTGTCTCTCTGGTGTCTATCCACCTCTCCAACTTCTCTCTATGTATATCTCTCCATCTATCTCTATATCTACCCATTCATCTACCTGTGATCTATTCATCTATTACCATCTCTCCATTCAGCCATCATTTATGTGTCTCGGTACCCCCTGCCTTCCTGCCTCTGTCTTTCTGACTCCGCTAACATGCCCTACTGCTGGACTCCTACAAGTGGTGCCCCACCTCTTGCTCTCCCGAAACCTTCGTTGCTCACCTTCCATCAGACCCCTCCTTCAATGACAGCCCAATCCCCAGCACGACACCCGCTCTGGGGAGGCAAGCATCCCACTAGCCTCCTTCTTGGGGCAGTGCTGGGCCCAACCTGTGAAAACTCCACCTCCTCTCCCCAGACAGCCTCCTTCTCCAGCAGCAGGGCCTCTATAGGCAAGAATGCCAAGTGCATGTGAGTGCACACAGGCAGTCCTGAGCGGGTGAGGCCCGTGAGCTCCCACATGTGTTTGCAAGTGTGTATTCACATGTTATGTCTGCATCCTGAATTGGTCAAGTCCAATTTTGCCTGCAATGGCAGAAGTTGAGTGTGTGTGCGTGGGCTGGGAGCAAGGCATCCCCTCCAGTGTGTGCCGCTCCTAAGGGTGACAGTGACCTGGGGCAGGCTGGGTCCATTGTTGAACCAGATGCCCTGGAGCTTCTGACTCCACCTCGAGAGCCAGCACCCAGGGTAGGGGACTGGGCGGGGCTCTGTGCACAGCATCTGATTCACCTCCCCCGCAAGCCCAGGATCTTGATTCCCGTTTGGCAGATGAAGAAACCGAATCCCAGAGAGGCAGAGTCACTTGTGCCACTGTGAGATCAAACTCTTCAGAGCTCCCGACTCACCCAAATGCCACTGCGTTCGCTCCTCTGGGACTCCAGCCTGGGCTAGGGCTAGGAAGCCTCTTGGACAGATGAGAGACCGAGGCCCAGAGCAGAGCCAGGATTTCTCTGCAGGTCCCAGGGCCTTAGCGCAGGGAGAAAAGCTGGGGTCTTATTCTCAAGACTCCTGTTAGACCTAGCCCAGCAAACCACAAGCACCCACCAGGCCACCCCTCCCTGCCTGGGCCTTGGCTGGCCCCACAGCTGCCTCTGCACTGGTCTCAAGGGCCCCACCCTACCCCACCCAGAGTGGCAGGGGCAGCTGCCTCTCGTGACAAATGTCCTCCGGCCTCAAAGCCACACTCAGTCCCTCTCAAAGCTCTGCCGTCCTCATGGCGTCCCTTTCCTTCCAATCAGGCCCCTCCCATGACAATCTCCATGTCTGTGCCAGACGCCTTGCTGTGGGTGCAAACCCCACGGAGACGGTGTGCTCATCCCCATACAACAGAGGAGGCTCCCCCTGCCAGCCACTCACCTGAGCTCCCACTGGGAGCATCTGTGAAGTCAAACACCCAAGCCTGAGCTCTGACCCACCGGGTCCCCAGCCACACCCACCCTGCCAGTGCCCCAGCTAGGCCAGGTCTGCCCCTGCACTGCAGGATGGCAGGGTGCCAAGCACTGCTCTGTTTCACCTCTTTGGGAGGCAGTGCTCCTCTGAAGTTCACTTTCCCCACCTGTCAAACAGAGCTAAGTTCCCACCATCGGGAGGAGCCAAGGGCCTAGTGGCAGAGGCTCTGGGTCCCCAGGGTGAGCCAGCTCTCCTTCAGACTGCTCAGAGCCTGGCCTCCCCATCCCTGAACACACGCAGCAAACACTCTATGTTGGGAGCCGTCCATGCAGCTGGGACCAGACAGAGCCATTCCTGCTCCTGACGGGCCAAGGGAATCTCACAGTGAATGCCTTAATCACAAGTGACGATCTGTGCTCCAGGGAGGTGCACAGACAGCAGGTGATGGGGCTGGGGTCGGGGATGGGAGGGAGCCAGGAGAAGAGGAGAACAGCCTAGGGCCGGAGTCCTCCTCACTCCTGTCTCCCACAGAAGTGTAAGCACCTTGATCAGGCCCCTCCTGAAGCTTCCCTGTCCCCAAGGTAAACATTAATGTCCACTGCTGGTCACCCTCCTCTAGCCGCGTCTTTGCCAGTCTCACTTCAAGAAAGGTGCGCCACAGACAGCTCAGCATAATCTTCTGGATGAACCTGACAAGAACAGAGAGAAGCCAGACTGCCTCCTCCCTTGTTTTACATACTGGATCTCTATTAATGCCTCCTAGGTGCACCTTCCCTTTAGGCCATGTACAATTGCCATTGGTAGGAGCACTCCACTTTGACCCCGACTTGCCCGCTCCCCAGATCACCCAGGGTCCCCGCTCCATCTGTGGTGTCCCTGTCGCCTCCAGACACGGGCTGCTTTCCAGCACGCCTGCTCCTCCTGCTGAGCTGGGCTGACCAAGAGTCCCCCGTGCTGGTTCCCAAGCTTGTTTGTGCCAGTTGAACCTGTCAAAATAATTATGTCATGTAATTAAATATTACCTAAAATGATGAAATGCGAATGCAAAAGGAGAGAGAGATGTTTCCATAGAAAAGTGGTTGACTGCTTGGAAAACACTCCCTTATAAGCGTTTTGCTTTAAAAATTGCCATGAAAGTGGGTGTTGGGGAGGCGACTACGAGAGTGTAGGGCAGGGATGGACGAGCCTAGGGGGCTGTGTTCAGCTTCTGCGAGGGGTTCTCCGAGATCTTCATCCACATTAAGGCAACAGAAACCAGGAGCTGCAGCCTGGCTTTCAATGTGGGCCCTGCCAGCCGCAGCAGCGCCACGGGGAATCTGTTCAAAATGCACGTTTTTCTGTTCAACCCAGCCCTCCCGAATCAGCAACTCTCAGGCAGGGCTCAGTACCTGTGTCTAAATCAGGCCTCAGGTGTTCCGATGCCCACTCGAGCCTGCGAACACTGCTGCAGTGTAGACCAGTCATCAGAGGGGTAATGTGTGCAAGAAAAGGTCCCAGGAGCCCCCGAAGAGCAAAGGAGCCCTCAGAGAGGCTCTGGCCTCACATCCAAAGATTGACGAATGAACTCGCTGCTTTGTGCTTCCAGGAAACGCAGATGCTGAAGGTCCAGGGAGAGCCATGTAGGGTCCCCCCGGAGACCGCCCCACCTAAGTGGGCTTCACCTGAGTGATCACTCAGTCTCCACCCAGTCCTGCCAGTGCAGATGAGCGAATTCTGCTGAGGTGACATTCAGTGAACCCTTGGCACACCCCAGCCCCTGGACACCTCACTGGCATGAGCCAATTAATCCCCACAGCACCCTCTGCGGGAGTGCTCGGCAGTACCCCCATTTTTCAGATAGGGAGACTGAGGCACACAGTCATTAAGTGACACCCCGAAGTGACTTCTCGCAGCCAGCACGTGGTCTGGCGCTCTGGGTGCCGTGGCTCGGGGACCAGCCCCGGCCTCTTTGTGCTGTGACCGCCTGTGGGTTTTCCGGCAGCTCCACCATGCCTGCAACGGACCTGGCTTGTCTGTGCTGTGCTTCATGCGACACGACATCCTGGAATACTTCAGCGTCTACGGAACAGCCCTGAGCATGTGGGTCTCGCTGATGGGTGAGTGGCCACCCCCTGCAGCCAAGCCTTGCAGACGAGGACCGGCTCCCCAGTGTCCACACGCCCACCCTCAAACCAGCCCCATCCCAGCCCTCCAGCCCCACTCACTCCCATCCCCAGAAACCTCTTCCCTTGTCTGGGTTTCAGGGTTGTGATTATGAAAAAGAATATACACCTCTTAAATGCCTTGATGCCGATTTTTCATATCCATTTAAAATGACTCATTTAGTAAAAGCTTGTTGTGACACATTTCAGCAGCAGAGGCAGACAAAGGAAAAACTGAAAGTGTTCCCTCCTGTCGCCCCTTCCCTGGGAGGACCGCTGTTCACTGCTCAGGGAATTGGCTTCCTAGACTTTCATACAGACATCCGCACACGCGGGTGATATCCAGCCTGGGAGGCAGGACCGTTCATAAGCCCCCTGTCCCACCATGTTTTTTTCCACTTACTGTTGTCTGTGGCAAGGTCCCCATGACCTGAAGGCTCCCTGCCATCCAACCAGGCCTGGGAGGGGCTTCGCTTCTTCCCGTGAATCTTAGTGTCTTTGTCCTGCGATCCTATGGGATAGATTCGATCCCATTCACTTTGCATAGTGATTATGGATTTTTAGTCACAGAGTCTCACTCTGCCACTCGGGCCGGAGTGCAGTGGCATGAACACAGCTCCCTGCAGCCTCGAACTCACAGCCTCAAGCCACCCTCCCACCTCAGCCTCACAAGTAGTTGGGATGACAGGCATGCACCACGACACCCACCGAATTTTTTGTGGAGATGGGGTTCCCGCTATGTTGCCCAGGCTGGTCTCGAACTCCTGGTCTCAGACGATCCTCCCGTCTTGGCCTCCCAAAGCACTGAGATTGTAGACCTGAACCACCACAACTAGCTGTGGTCTATTTATTAAAACAAGGTGCTGGGAGCACAATCCAAGCTGCTGTGTCCATGGGGGAAGCAGCAGGCTGCCGGTCCTCTCAAATTGGCTGGAGTTCAGACCCCTCAATGAGCAGGCTGGGCCTCAGGGTCTCGCTGGCTGAGGGGATGCCAAGAGAGGGCACCTACAGTTTGCCTCCTGGGGGGTGGGGGGTGGGGGGCAGCCAGGAGGAGCGAGAGGGACCACTCATCTCCCCCAGTGTCTCCCTGGCCCCTCCAGCACTGGCCGACTTCGATGAGCCCAAGAGGTCAACATTTGTGATGTTCGGCGTCCTGACCATTGCTGTGAGGATCTACCACGACCGCTGGGGCTACGGGGTGTACTCAGGCCCCATCGGCACAGCCATCCTCATCATTGCGGCAAAGTGGGTGCGTATTGTGTGAGCCTCGATGAACAGGGACCCAGGAGGCCCGTCACCTCTCCCCTGTCTGACTCCTCCTGCCTTGGATCTTCGTTTACCTCCTGCCTCACAGGCAAATGAGTAGATGCAGGAATTCAGTGAAAACACATAGAAAATGGCCATCAGGTGCTCCGGCTGTGCAGTGTGTGACTCTTGTCTGTACCTACCAGCTCCAGACTGAGCCCAAGTTACCCAACCTCTCACCTCCATGCCCGTACCTGTAAAGCAGGTGTTGTCATTATACCCCCTGCCTGTCTCATGGGGTGGTTCAGGCACCTGAAGTCCTGGCATGCAGCCTGGCTTCCAATGTGCTCCACACATAGGAGCTATTTATTATCACTCTCATCATCACTCTTACTACAGCTGCTTTAGAGATGCAACATTAACCTGGAAAATGGCCTGGGGTAATCTGGGAAGACTTCCTGGAGGGAGTGAGCCTTGACTTGGCTCTAGCCAGGAGGGAGAGTGTGGTATGAGAGTGAGGAAACCTGGGCCAGAGCTTTTAGCACAGACAGCCTCTTGCAGAGCAGCAAGGCTCTGGCACCCATGAGGCCCTCACACAGTTCTCAGTGCTCCCTGCTCCCTCTGTCCTATCAAAGCCCTCCTGGCTCAGGACCAAACCCCACTCAAACTCGCCCAAGCTAAAGAGGGATCCTAGGGCAGAATAGACCCGGGGCATCTCCTGGGACCCCAGAACAGGAGGGAGCTTACCCTTGCAGGGGTCTCGCAGACCTGGGGGGCCAGCAGGCTTCAGCCTGAGCCTGCCCTCCAGGCCTGCAGCAGCCGAGGCACCTGAACATCTGTCTGCTGCATTTCACCTCTTTGGATGCCACCTGAAGTCTCAGGGTCCCAGCTTCAAGTGCTAAGAGAGGACCTGGCCTGGTCCAGCCCAGCCACACTGCCAGCCCCAGTCAGGACCATAGGGTACCCAGCAAGCCAGAGGGCAGCTGTCAGTGCAGGAGGGCCCACGGCTGTGAGGAGAGCAATCGAGTTCTGGCAGGCAGCTTGCAAAACGTGTCCCAATCCTCCCCACAGCCAAGGAGCACAGAACTGATTTGCCATTTGGCCTATGAAGAAACTAAGGCATGGAGGCCTCAGCAACTTAACAGGACATTATGGTAGGGCAGTGGCTGGGCCAGGACTTGACTTTTTTTTTTTTTTTTCCCGAGACGGAGTTTCTCTCTTGTCACCCAGGCTGGAGTGCAATGGCGCCAACTCCGCCTCCCAGGTTCAAGTGATTCTCCTGTCTCAGCCTCCTGAGTAGCTGGGATTACAGGCGCCCGCCATCATGCCCAGCTAAGTTTTATATTTTTAGTAGAGATAGGGTTTCACCATGTTGGCCCAGCTGGTCCTGGACTCCTGACCTCAGGTGATCTGCCTGCCTTGGCCTCCCAAAGTGCTGGAATTACAGGCGTGAGCCACCGTGCCTGGCTGGACTTGACTTTTTGAGCAGGAGACAGAGGACCTGCTTTCTGTCTCCAACTTGAGGAAGCACAGCTAACCCTGGGCTGACCCAGAAGGCCCCTGGGAGTTGCCTGGCAGGGAGAGAGAGAGCGCTGGGCATCAGTGGCCTGGACCAAGGTGGGTGGCGGCAAGGAGCGTGCTGGGGCCCTGGGCCCTGGCCACCCACCTCTCGCTTCCTTCTGTCCCCGAAGGTTGCTCCTCCCGCTGGTCTTGGCCAGGTCTGAACTGGGCTGAATTGTGATTGGCCAGAAGAGAATTCACTGGTGGGTTTCCCACCAAGAGCCACGAGACTGCCAAGGCCCTCAGACTGCAGATCCGGCCACAGGAGCCCAAGATGGGCCGCCCACCTCCCCGCATCTGGGACTCAAATTGTTGTTTTCTAGACCATTTATTGTGGAGTTTATTTTAGATTTTCAAGGGCAATTGTTTCCTGGAATGAGGGTGGATTTTTCTCCCTGAGCCTCGTCCCCTCTTGGGAGGGGTAGAGCAATGACAGTCCTGGAGAAAGAGGGAGGGAGGGTTGGGTGATGGCGCCCTTTCAATAGTGCCAGGCCCGCTGCGTGACCTGGGGCAGGCTCCTCCCTTCTCCCTGGTGTTACCACTGCAGGACCGGCTCGAGGTGGGCTGGCAGCCGTGGTCACTGCAGCCAGGGTCACACGGTCCAGCTGTCTTCACGCTACTGCGCGACTGCAGGTGCCCAATTCCTTGTTGGCAATGGAATTCCAGAAAACGGAAAGCCGGGCATCAATTCATCATTCACTGGGTGGCGAAACCTGACCTGACCCAGCATAAGGCTCTTCGTGCTCTTTGCATAGGCCACTCAGCAATGGGTGCAGTTAGGGGGTGCTGCCCCCACCCCCAGGCGCTTGTGCCACACGCTGTGTGTCTGACGGTTTATCCCACTGAAATCTAAAGCCTCCTGAGTGTACCCCATGGGCCTGGCCCCACTCTGAGGCCGCCAACACCCAACCCTCCCTCCTTCCTCCCCCACAAGGCTGTCGTTCCCCAGCCCCTCCCAAGAGGGGACCAGGCTCAGGGAGAAAAATCCACCCTCATTCCAGGAAAAAACTGCCCTTGCAAATCCCAAATAGACTCCACGTGAAGTGGCCTAGAAAACACAAGGCGGGTCCCAGGGATGTGGCCCCACCCTTCCCGCATCTTCCTCGGAATGCAAACCCCTCTCTAAGCGGAAACGGCCACGTGAGCCTTCCTAAGCACTGGGACCTGAGAATCGGTGCTGGCCAAGTGTGTCTAATGAGGACTGAGATAGGTCCTTTAACTAGGAAAGCAAAAGATGCATGTCCGTGGCTCAGGGACCACCACAAGTGCCACTCCCATGGGCCACACTGGGCTGGCAGGTCCAGTACCTTCCTTCATAAGCAATCATGGAGTCTAGTCCCCCTGGGGCTCCCCTCCGGCGGAGAGGAGACATGCAAGGGTGGCGTTGTCACATCCCAAAGAGGCGGGAGGGCAGCGGGGTCCTCACGGGGCACACGGCCTGGAGGCTCCCTTCCCAGCCATCCAGTGTGGGGTCTCTGGTGGGTCCCACCGTGAAGGGCCCTGTCCAGCAGAAGCCATCTGAGGCTGGGTGTGGCAGGAGGCTCCTGAGCCTCCTCTCCTGCTGGGAGAGGGCTGGGGTGAGCCTGTGCAGGGCCGGCTCTCGGGCTGGTTTGGGAAGGGGCGTTCCCGAGTGCTGTGACCTGAAAGCTTTGCTGTGGCCTCCTGTCCCCGCAGCTGCAGAAGATGAAGGAGAAGAAGGGCCTGTACCCAGACAAGAGCGTCTACACCCAGCAGATAGGCCCCGGCCTCTGCTTCGGGGCGCTGGCCCTGATGCTACGCTTCTTCTTCGAGGTACCAAGCCCAGCGGGGAGGTGTCCTGTGCCCCAGAGCCCACTCGGCGTGGCTCTGCTCAGCTGGGAAACCAGGGCTGTGCCCATGTTGGGGGGACTCTGACAGCCCCAGGCCAAAGTCAGGCATTAGTCCCTGCTCACTAACCCCTCCCAGAGCTATGTTGGGGGCACTGCCGTCCCCGGCACCACCAGCACCATGGCCTGTGTGGATCTGGAGGTCACAGAGAGACCAAAGCTGGCCGCCTACAGAAAGCTGGCATCTCAGATGGCAGCACAGCCTGAGAGAGGCCTGGGGCAGGTGTCCGACACCTGGAGGAGGGAGGGAGGGAGGGGAGGAGACAGGGAAGGAAGGAGGGAGAAAGTGGAGAAGGGAGGGAGGAGCAGGGGAAGAGGGATAAGGAGAGAAAAGAGGGGAGATGGAGGAAGGGAGGGAGGGTAGGAAGGAGAGAAGGATGGAGGAAGAAAAGGACAGCAGAGAGAAGGGATGGGGAGGAAGGAAGGAGTGCAGCCTGGAGAATGGCACAGGCCCTCACTGCTCTGGGGTTAGGTGGAGAGAAAGGCCACCGTGAGCGCGACCGTGGGGGAGGATTCCTGCAGGTGTCCCAGTGCCCAGGAAGAGGCGCGGGCCTTGAGGGGCTCGGCTGGGTCTTGCAGAGGGAGGAGCCTTGGGGAGGGGCTGAGGCCCCAGACTGATCGCCTGCCGCCCGCAGGACTGGGACTACACCTATGTCCACAGCTTCTACCACTGTGCCCTGGCCATGTCCTTTGTTCTGCTGCTGCCCAAGGTCAACAAGAAGGCTGGAGCCCCGGGGGCCCCGGCCAAGCTGGACTGCTCCACCCTGTGCTGTGCTTGTGTCTGATGCTGCGCCCAGCCCGGCTCTGAGCCCCTGCCCTCCCCAGCTCACGCTTGGCCAGAGTCCCAGACAGTTTCTCCTCCTGCAGCTCCTGCTGTCCTTCCCTGCCCCAGAGCATGCAGGAGAAACATCTCTTGCATACCCTAAGAGGCCCCCGGAGGTCTGTGAAGGGCCCATCACACTGCACTAAATGCTTCTTAAGAACCCGCTTATTCCGTTGTGACGGGGTGCACAGCAGCAGGACCAAGCTGGAAAGATAAGAATGTTCTCCTCCCAGGCCTTGTCACGACCCATTGGCGTGTCTGGTGGAGCCCTAGGTCTGGCGTCTGCCCACCCCACTGCTGGCCAGCGGCCCAGGAGTCCCAGCCGTGTGCCAGCCATGACGGGGGGGCTCCCATGTCTTCAGTTTTCTCCTGGGAACTGCTATCACCATCTCTGTCCTGTGTCCTCAGGCTCCGAGCAACCCCATTTAGGAAGCTGGGGCCAGCGGGGCCAGCTGGATCCCTGGCCCAGGCCAGTCTGGCCCCACCCCTTCCGCTGGGTCCCTGAATCAAGCCGTTTTCATAATTATAACCAATAAGAAGTGCCTCAATGTATCAACCTCACTGCGTCCCAGACACTTTATATACATCCTAACCCTTAAAACAAGACTCAGCCAAGCGTCATCCCACCCCCACCAAAAGCTTGTTCAGGGCCCGGAACGGGGGCTGCCTCTCTAGAGTGGGTGGTGTGGGAGGTGTGAGCACCGCTTCTGGTCCTCAGCACCCACATGCTGGCTTTTAGCCCTGCACGCCGTCCCCAGCGTGGAAAGGTGATGGGTTTGGGTGCGGTGCCCGTGAGCAGAAGCTGCAGGGCCCAAATGCTGGGCTCCCTCGGCTGGGCCTCCCTGCTGTGCGGTGGGCGGTCCTGTCTGTGAAGGACTGCGGGGGTGGCGGCAGTAGGTCCCAGACATCACCTCACAACCTGCGTCCCCCGGCACCCAGCGATTCCAGGCCCATCTGTCAGGCAGGAAGTTACCTACACCTGTCTGGGGCCTGTTTGTGTTTCCAGACGGTGCCACCGGCTTGGGAGTGGTTGCCCAGGTCCACTGCCCATGGAAAGAGGGCGGTGATTTGTCCCGGAGTCACCCCCTGCTCGCCTCCAGGGCTGGGAGAGAGCTGGCTCAACTCCTGGGCTGGGGACAGGGCCACCCTCTAGGCTCCTCCCCCATACGGTTGCTCTGACTCCCTGGCCTGGTGACCCCATCTGCTGCCCTGCCTGCCTGACAGCCTGGCATCCCCCAAGTCTCAGGGGTCTCTGGCCTGCCCCTTCCTCACCCAGCGTCCCTCCTGGCCTCGAAGGGCAGGCACAGAGGACAGCCAAGCTCAGCCCTTTCCTGGCCCTGGAGTCTTTGAATACAGAGCAGCCCACGGCTGGTGCTCTCTCCCCAGCCCTCAGGGTATGAGCAAGCTGAGGCTCCGGCATCCAGGGCTCCAAGCCCATCCACCCAACAGGGGGGCAGGGACATGTCCTGTGTGTCGCCATTATAGGGCCAAAGACACCCAACTTCTGTGCCCTGACCTGGGGTTGGGGGGCAGGCATGGCGCTGCCTCTGTGGGCTTCCAGTCCGCCTGAGGACACCACACATACACACACGCACGTGCACACATGTACACACTCCATACACCACAGATATGCACGTGCACACATGTACCCACTCCATAAACCAGACATACACACACATGCACACATGTACACACTCCATACACCACACACACCACAGATACACACACATGCACACATGTACACACTCCATACACCACAGACCACACATACATGCGCATGCACACATATACACACTCCATAAACCACACATACACACCACACACACACGAGCACACATGTACACACTCCATACACCACACACACCACACATACACACCACACATACATGCACATGCACACAAGTACACGCTCCATAAACCACACATACACACATGCACATGCACACATGTACACACTCCATACACCACACACATACACACACATGTGCACACATATACACACTCCATACACCATACACACCACACATACATGCAGTGCACACATGTACACACTCCATACACCACACACACCACACATACACACGTGCACACATGTACACACTGTATACACCACACATACACGTGTACACATGTACACCTCCATACACCACACCATACACGCACCTGCACACCGTACACACACATACACCTCACACGTACACACACGTGCACACATGTACACACTCCATACACCACACACATATACCCACGCACATGCACACACGTACACACTCCATACACCACACACGTACACACACGTGCACACATGTACACACTCCATACACCACAGATATGCACGTGCACACATGTACACACTCCATAAACCAGACATACACACACATGCACACATGTACACACTCCATACACCACACACTCATGTGCACACATGTACACACTCCATACACCACACACACCACAGATACACACAAATGCACACATGTACACACTCCATACACCACAGACCACACATACATGTGCATGCACACATATACACACTCCATAAACCACACATACACACCACACACACACGACCACACATGTACACACTCCATACACCACACACACCACACATACCACACATACATGCACATGCACACAAGTACACGCTCCATAAACCACACATACACACATGCACATGCACACATGTACACACTCCATACACCACACACATACACACGCATGTGCACACATATACACACTCCATACACCACACACACCACACATACACGCACGTGCACACATGTACACACTCCATACACCACACACACCACACATACACGCACATGCACACATGTACACACTCCATACACCACACACACCACACATACACGCACGTGCACACATGTACACACTCCATACACCACACACACCACACATACACGCACGTGCACACATGTACACACTCCATACACCACACACACCACACATACACGCACGTGCACACATGTACACACTCCATACACCACACACACCACACATACACGCACGTGCACACATGTACACACTCCATACACCACACACACCACACATACACGCACGTGCACACATGTACACACTCCATACACCACACACACCACACATACACGCACGTGCACACATGTACACACTCCATACACCACACACACCACACATACACACGTGCACACATGTACACACTGTATACACCACACATACACGTGTACACATGTACACACTCCATACACCACACACACACACGCACCTGCACACACGTACACACTACATACACCACACACGTACACACACGTGCACACATGTACACACTCCATACACCACACACATATACACACGCACATGCACACACGTACACACTCCATACACCACACACATACATACACCTGCACACACGTACATACTCCATACACCACACACATACACACACGTGCACACATGTACACACTCCAAACACCATGCACATACACACATGCACATGCACACATGTACACGCTCCATACACCACACATACACACACATGTGCACACATGTACACACTCCATACACCACACACACCACACATACACGCACGCAAGTGCACACACGTACACACTCCATACACCACACATACACATGCACGTGCACACATGTACACACTCCATACACCCACACACGCTGCACACACTGAGAAAAGACAGGGCGTCCTTGAGCCGGTGTCTTCCCCTCTGGCCCCGTGTGGAGACCACATGAGCCTCACACCAGGTATTGTAGGGGACAGGCTCTGGGGGCCCCGCAGCTGGAGAGCCCTGGACATCCCTGCAGAAGCAGGCACCTGCACGGTGGCCGCCCCACCTCCCTCCCCGCCACAGCTAGCAGCCAGCACCCCCCCTTCCCGCCCTGCAGCAGCAGCACATGGAAAGTTGGAGGCGGCAGGCCACTCCGAGCAGGGCGGCGGCGAGGGCCCTGCCAAGCGCGAAGGGTCACGCTGGCAGGCTCCTCACTGCAGCGATTTACGAAGGCCGTCCGGAGCCTGGCCAAGTCTGTAAGTCACGGACAATTAGGAGGCGCGCTCCAGCCCTCAGTCCCTGCCCACCGCTGCAGGCTCCCGGGCTCGAGGCCCAGCCTCGCCCCTCCCGACGGGGGCAGCCCCCTCCTCTACACAGGCAACCCCTCGGGGACCCCAGGCCACAGTCCTGAGCCCACTTTGCTAATAAGGACACCGAGGGCCAGGGATGTCAGACAGCTTGGGATGGTGGCTGCTGGGTGGGAGACAGTGCCAGGATCTTGCCAGTCCCCCAGCTGTGTCTCCCTCCTGTGGCCTCGGGCACCATGGCCTACTTTGACATCTTGGGGGCTTTGACCAGAGAGCCAGGTAGGGAGTACCCAGGAAGGGGCCACCCTGCTCCCTTGACACCAAGAATGGTCACCCCAATGCTGCAAGATGACAAGAAAGAAACATCGTGGCCTGTAGACGCAAGCACCTCTGAATCCCTGTGTCTACCAGCCCCAAGGGTGTCGTGTCCCTGGAATCTGAGAAAGGGCCTCCAAGGCCGCCCCAGCCAGAACTCCCTCTCCCCGGCCCTGATCGGGAGACCCGGAGACTGTGAGTCCAGTGCTTGGAAAAGTAGTTCTAGATGCCACTAGGAGTCCCCAGATAGCACTGGCCAAGAGGACTTGCTTTAGTGGTGGGGACACTCTGGGCTGCCCGGCACGCCTAGTGCCTGGGCATTTGCAAAGTGGTCGGTACAACCAAGAACCTGAATCTTTAAATGTTAGCTCATTTTTATTTTATTTATTTTTTTTTGAGACGGAGTCTCGCTCTGTCGCCCAGGCTGGAGTGCAGTGGCGCGATCTCGGCTCACGGCAAGCTCCGCCTCCCGGGTTCACGCCATTCTCCTGCCTCAGCCTCCCGAGTAGCTGGGACTACAGGCGCCCGCCACCTCGCCCGGCTAGTTTTTTGTATTTTTTTTTTAGTAGAGACGGGGTTTCACCGTGTTAGCCAGGATGGTCTCGATCTCCTGACCTTGTGATCCGCCTGTCTCGGCCTCCCGAAGTGCTGGGATTATAAGCCTGAGCCACCGCTCCCGGTCAGCTCATTTTAAATAATTTAAATTTAAATAGTCACATGGATCCGGCCAGGCACGGTGGCTCACGCCTGTAATCCCAGCACTTTGGGAGGCCGAGGTGGGCAGATCACGAGGTCAGGAGATCAAGACCATCCTGGCTAACACGGTGAAACCCTGTCTCTACTAAAAATACCAAAAAAAAAAAAAAAAAAAAAAGTCACATGGGTGGCATTGCAGATGAAATCCAGGACGCCCAGTTGCGTTTCAATTCCAGATCTATAGCAGATGCTCACGTAGCATAAACCCCGTGAGCTACTGGAGAGACACTTGCATGAAACACACCTACACCAAAAAATGATTCATTGTGTATCTGAAATCGAGTTTAACCCTGAGTTTTCTGTTTGATTGGGCAGCCCTGTCCATGTGGCTGGTGGTTACTGCGCAGGACGGTGCATCTGCTGGAAACAAAAGGGATGGGACAGCTCTGAGGACTCTTGGTGACTG